AATTGTAAACTGATATATATATATATATATATATATATATATATATATATATATATATATATACTACTAAAATCCCTCTCGCTCACGCTGCCATCACTAACACAAATGCATTGTTTGCCGGCTCGCAAGTGTCTGTGTGTGCGCTTGTGTGTGTGACATGTTAACGACGGCGCTCAAATGACTTTTGTGCGGTTTAAAACCAAACCCCACGACCAGGACCAGGACCAGGACCAGGACCAAGACCCCCTCTAGCCCCCAGACGAACCATCATCGCCATCGTCATTGCCATGGCCTTCTCCTCCTCCTCCTCCTCCTCCTCCTCCTCATCGCCTTGCCTTGTTCGCTGCAGTATTTTTCAATTTTATGGTTTCCAGATGAAGTGCGTTCGACCGTAAGTAAATGCCGGGGAAGCCCCTTTTTTAGCCGCCACACACCAACCCACTAACCCCTCTCCATGTCAGCTGCAGCTGTCATTGTTTAGCTTTTTGCCCTCTTGCAGGACGAGGGAATCCCCTTCCTACCGCTCTCCCTCACACGCATAAAGTTGCATTTTTCCTTTTGCTGTTTTTTATACTTTTTCTATTCGGGTCCGAAACTGCTTAGCCAATTTTTTCGGGCTTCTGTTTGCCATTTTTTTTTTTAGCTTTTCAGCAGTTTGGCTGACCGAATCGTTATGAGTTATGTGCGGGGAGGGGCCTGGCCAGGTGAGCGGGTAGATTGAAACTAACTGAATTGCCCAAGCGGCTGTGAACATTTCGTTTTAATTAAGAGGCCACTCCGGCCAAAGAGAAAAGGAGCAAAAACAAAAAACAAAAGGAGCCACCAAACAAAAACAAAACAACAAAAAATCAAGAATGGAGAAAAAACCCAGTAGGAAAGAAGAGAGAGAAATGGGCTAGAACTGTGTTGAGGATGGTGACTGTTTTTTTCGCTCCCGGAAAGTTGGGGGTTAGTTCCAGTTGATCCGTCAACTAATTAAAGCCAACTTTCAGGCTTCGCTGGCCAAAAATGGCAAAGCACGAAAAAAATGGCCAACAGCGGATGCTTAATTATTTATGGAAAATATTTAGCTGGAAAACAAATTAAATCGGAATCATTAAATACGTGAACAAACAGTGTTTATGGCAAATATATATTAATCCCTTTCAATGCACTGTGATTAAATAGTATTTAAAAATGATAAATTAACTTAAATTTAACAAGAAATAATAACAAAGAAAAAAAAGATTAATTCTGGTAAATATTTAAGAATTTTAAAAGCTAAAAAAAATAATTCTAAAAACTTTCAGATACTAAAAAACTAATTTACAACAAATTTGGTTATTAAAAATAAATATATTCAAATTTTTAAAGGAAATTAATATATAAAAAATATAAAAAAATAAATATATTATTATTTCTAAAGGAAATGAATTTTTTTTTTAATTTATAAAAATATTTTTTAGTACTTTACTAAATTTTTCTTATATTGTAATTAAAATTTAAATTTCAAAAAATTTACCTTTAATTTTCTTAAAAAACTAACACAAATTTCAAGTTCATTTTATTTATATCATTAAATTATACTTTTTATTTATTTATTATAATATCTTTTATTTACCCAACATTTTCTTTCTGTGTCTCTACTTATTTCATATGCTAATCTGTTTCGAGTATTTTTCTTCTTTCTATTGGCCTTTATCTAGATTTTTTTTATCCATTTCCCTTTTTGACTGAGCCTTTGGTGACCCCTTGTGACCCTTAGCTACCTGACCACACCTGTCGCCATTTGCGGTTCTCGCAGTAAATGCATTTTTAATGCATTTCATCCCGTTTTTGTGTGTCCAGTCGCTGCTAAAAGCAAATGCACATTTAAATAAAATTTTATAGTTATATCTATTTAAATATTGCAAAAAGGAATGCTGGGCCGAGGGACAGCATAATTCGCAATTTAAATAAATCAGAGTCAGAGGCGGTCATAAAACCCGTTGTGTTTTTGGCCAAATGCAATAAGAGCCAACTTTTCTAAGGCGAAAGCAGCTCGCTGCTCCTCCATGCATCAGAGTTGACACTTTTTGTTGCAGAATTTCGCTATATTGCCACCAAAGTGAGTGGCAAGAGCAAATGGGCAAAACGTAAACCAAATGGAATGAAAAACAAGATGAAGGAGATGAAAGTCCAGTAAGGAGGAGAAGGGAAACTAGAATATAAGAGCCACACATATACATATATATAATAAGCCTGAAAGCTTAACAAATAATTTACCTAATTTAAATGTTAACAAATTAAAATTAAAAAGACACTTTTCACTACATTTTTATCTCAATTGTATAATGCCAGAACCCCTTTAATGACGAGCCCAAGGTAAGCGGAATGACAGCCTCTTCCAGGGGGAAATCCCTTCCCTTAACCCGTGTGTGCCCCCTCCCCGCTTCCGGTTGCCCTTAACACGTTGACATCTCACGGGGCTGCTCTGCTCAGCTTGCGTTTTTCTCCCCTGTCAAGCTGCCTCCTGTTATTTGTTGCAATTTAAGTGACTTGGAATTGCAATTTATTGTTCCCGCTCTGAAGGGGAAAATCAGCCATCTGCCTTTCCCTTCTCCCTAGCACTTTTCCCTTTTTTTGGGGGGGTGGGCTGGATATAAACAAGGCGGCGGGGAGCCAGGGAAATATGAGAATTTAGTGTAATGTTGTTTTTATTGCAACTTCATGTGCGGAATGTGTATCAGGGCATTAAAGAGTGTTGTTGCATACACTCAGCCACCGGAAGAGTCGAGAAAACTTTACCCAAAGGACGATCAAGTGACGATTTCCCTCTTGGGTTGCCAGGGATTGTTGGATTTCCTCACGGAATTCCTTATTTAATGACTGATAAATCATGGAGTCACAAGTGTAATTGTTACCTACTCAAGGTTATTATTTTATTTGAATAATGTGGAATTTATGGAGGCTTAAGGAAATATTTTTCAAGTATTTTTAAGAGGTTTTGAAGAGTTTTTTTTTTTAATTTTAAAATGTATATAAATACTTTCCTACAAGTTTTCTACCAAAAAGACGACTTCAAATTCCTTCTTACATCATCTAAAGAAGAAAAATCACTTGTATAATGACAGAAGGACATTTATAATGCCGAATTTTGATTGTCCTGGCAAGTCTATTGTCCTTGTCCAGCGATATTGTAAATTTCTTTATATTTGTCAAGCCAATTGAAAAGTTTGTGGCAACTTTGTGTTGATTTAACACCCCTCCCAGCGCCACACATATAAGACAACAAAGTCACAGAACAGTCCTGTGTGTCCTTCCATCAAAGGAGAGAAGTCTGGCCCCCCGGGGGGAGGGTCAAGAAAGAGAAAAACTTTCGCTGGCCGGGACATAAATAAGGAATTGTATGGTAAATGGCCGGCAAGGAAAACAACGTGGAATAAAGCCGACACAAGTCGGAAAAGTCTGGAATTACTCGTAAGGAAGAGAGATAGACAGAGTGAGAGTGAGAGAGAGAGAGAGAGAAACAATAGAAAGAGACAGTCAGGGGTGAACAGTGACCACACACAGTGATTTACGCTCATGAAATTGAGTTGTGGCGCAAATTATTTATGAACAAAGCGCACACACAGGAATAACAAGCAAGCGCGAAGCAAACGAGAATTGTAATGTCCCAAAATCCAGGACAATATGCAGTTTGCGGAATCGGTATCGAAGTCCTTCCCCAGAGAAATGTCCCTTCTGCGGACAGCTTAGAGCAGCTCGCCGCTTGCCAGAGCCAACTTTTTCTCCAAAAAATAATTTATTAGCGGCAAACGAGCAAAAGTTTTATGAAAATTCAAAGAACACAAAAAAAAAAAAAAAAAAAACAAGACAAAAATAAAGAAAGGAACACAATCGAAACAAAGGCCAAAACAAGTGGAAGTTGAAGTTGAGGTGGCGCAACTTGATGAAGTAGCTCCAACACCCAGCATTTGGGGCCAACATTTCATTGTCAGCCGAGTTTTTGCGGGAATCGTGTGCTTTGTTTAATATTTTCAGACTCTGTCAAAAAGTTTGGGCCAAATTTATTTACTATCATGTCCGCCAATGAGCCGGGGTACAAGAGGAACTGAGTGTGAGCGGGTATGTTTGTTAACAAAGCGGGTTTGGTTTAAGTTTCTCTGAACTATAAAATAATACTTATTATTGGAAATTTCTTGGAAAATATTCTACATATTTCTGCATATTTTATAAACTGAATAGAAAATCTGGGTAACATTTGATCTCAACTCTTAAGAATTTATGACTAAGCGAACATATAGAAAATTATAATATCTAATTAATAAAAACGAGTGGCTTGCTATCAAAAATATCCCCTTAATAAGGGCATTTAATGCCGCTCAAGTCTCACTTGTTATTTATTGAATTTGGCACACAATTGCACAGGAGCTTATTTTCTCCACCTGCCTTCCTTCCTTCCACATTCAATTGCTGCGTATGAAATTTATGAAATTTATTCCGCTGCCTGTCAAAGTTTTCTTCCACTCGTATATCTTGCAAAAAGGAGCAAGCCCACGCTTACCGGTCTCTCTAGGTGCCAATGACAGTCGCATTACGCATACGTCCCGTGTCCCCCTCGCTCTGCTGGGCATTACGTATACGCCTTGCGGACGGAACCGTTCGATATCATTAGCATTGGCAAATGCATATGGAAAGCCTCGTTCTCGCTCTCGCTCTCTTCGTCCCTAGTTTGTGTATTTATTTTTAGAGAAAACAATTTCAGTTGCTTAGCAAAGCTGCCACCGCAAAAGCCACCACCACCCCTTTTTCGCCCCCAACAGAACGCTTTGTATGCAAATGAGCAGACTGAATTCTCTCATGATAATATGCCATTAATGAGCAGCATTATTTTCCCCCAAGTGTGCCCCCAGTGTGTATTGTTTGCCAATTAATTAAACATCGCTTAATGCGAAATATATATATAAAATAATTGCAATAATTAAAACCCGTTTGCAATCAGTCAGCCAGAGAGAAATGCTCCCCACACATTCTCGCTCTACGAACTAAATAGTTGATGTTTATTGCAAGTCTTTGATATAATTATGGAGTGGCCTTCTTGATTGGCCGAATGAGCATGCGGACATAGCTGAGGGATCCGTTTGGCCCCGTCAGGAACGGCTTCCACAGGATGCCCTTGAAGAAGCCTATCTCGTGGCCATACTTGGACTGAAAGGTGCCAAAGAGGTTGCTGGAAGGAAAGAGGGGCTTTCATTATTAAAGCCAACTATCAGGGTGTCCTTCACTCACCTCTGTACACACTCCCGGCCGTACCACCAGGCTCCTGCATGGGTCCTGGCACAGTTCTGACCATTGTCGTCATTGTCCTGGTCAAAGGTGGTGAACTTCTTGCCGGCATGGTAGCGCAACGAGTCTCCGGCATCGCCCTTGTAGGTCCCCAGCACATACAGGAGATACTTCTCCGACTCGCTGCCAATGCTAAAGTGATCGTAGATGGCAAAGCGCTCCTCCCCCTTCTTGTTGCGCATGATTACCAGCAGCTCGTGGTGCTCACTGTTGGTCAGGCGATGCAGCTTTTCCAGGCCAATGAAGAACTCCGTATTCAAGGACCCAAAGCCAGCCTTGTAGGTCTCCCAGTCGCGGTTAAAGTCCTCGCTACCATCGTACCTGTAGGCAATCACCAGCCAGCCACCGTCGCGCTCCTTCTGGTCACAGCTGACGAAGAAGGGATCCATGTCCTGGGCTATCCTGATTCTCACCTGGCCATGCTTCTCGTCGTGGCAACTCCGGGGTATGTCGTCGACGGGCGCAGCCGGTGGCAGGTTCTGGAGGCCAGGAAATGGGCGGAGTCTGTGGGGAAAGCATTTAAATAGAGTTTTTCAATTTTCTGGTATAAAGCCAACGCTTACATTCTGGCCTCCAGGGGATACCCATCACTGGGCTGCGTTTTGAACTCCTCAACCAAGTCCTGCAGCTCGTTCAGTTCCTTCCTTAGATTTTGCAACTCATCGGTCATGAATTGAATACTAAAAAGTTGCTCTATAATTAAACTTATCCTTCAATTTAGACTGTCTTTCCACTTACCGGGCTGTCAGGGCTCCCAATGTGCTCGCAGGACAACTTCCAGAATCCTTGGAAAAATAATTACACAATTAAAAACCATTTTTCTTGTTTTAAGTGGCCTCACCCACATTCTCAGCCATCAGAAAGGGTTCCGCTGAATTTCTCATTATCACAGAAAGTGGCTTTTCCGTGGAGTTCATCGTGGCGGTGCTGAGGCAGGCCAAGGCCGTGACGAGCGTCTCCAGAGCCATGCCTAGCCAGGTGTAGTTCCAAGGCGATTCCTATATATATATAAATCGATTCCAGAAGCAATCTGTGCTAACGACAGCAACGCGGCTGCAACTGCTCGTCGGGGCAACTGACTAAGTAAGTCAGCTCCCGGGCCTATCAATAACTAGCTGCTCGATGGTCAGAGATGCTAAAAAATGAGTTAAGTGAAGCGATCACAATGATCATAGATAATTTACAGGTAAAGTAACGAATTATGCCATATTTTTATTAATAATGTATTTAACCTTAATTAAAATCCTTTTTCTATAATACTTTTACACACATTTTTAGTACAAAAATCTTGGAAAATTGTAGCTTTTCCTCGTTGCCTCATCACTGCCTGAGAAAGCACTGCTCAACACTTGTTATATTCCGCTTAGCATACTTGTTTTTCATGCGATGAACAATCCAACGTGGAAAAACTAATCCCCCGACTGACCTTTGGCAGTCAGTGGCGTTCTCATTCGCGTTCGCACTGCGCCTCCGAACGGCAGCTAGTTAGCTTAGCTTAGCTTAGTCAGTTACTTAGTCTGTTGCCAATATGTCGCAGATGCTGCAGCTGGACGCCTTGGTCATGGCCATGGCCTGTCTATCCACCACGCAAACGGACCTGGGCGGCGGTCTGATGGTGCCTCCGTCCCTGGAAAATGCCGTGAGTTGCAAGTGTATATCTTAAAGGGAAAACCGGTTTCAGGGAAGGTACAAAAGTCGAAGGGGATTCACCATAGCAGTGAGAGAAGAGTGCTTGAGATATATAAATAATCAAAAATATATAATCCTTCTAGAGCTCCATCAGCTGTCCTGTACCCACTGTGAGTGGCCTCTCCACTCGGATTCAGACTCTAAACAAGGAAATAGCCAGTGTCAAGGAGCAGATTGGCAGCCTGCAGGAGCAATTGGCGGATCTTAGGAGGACAGGGGGTCCGCCAGTGGTGGCACTGGCTTCGCCCACCCTGGGCTCCCGCTTGTGAGTACAAAAAAAGATAACCAGAAAGCTCTAAGGGGAATTTGATAAACCGATTTGAAATACAACTTTCTATGTAAGGAGAGTATATATCTTATACTTCACCTGATCTTTCCTATGAAAACTATAGAAACAAAAAACATCAAAATTCCTCTTGGTGCTTTGATTCCCAAATAATAATCCACAGACCTTCCGCCAGCTTGGATGTACAGCCCCAGCTGCTGGGCCCCGGCATTCCCGCTCCTGCCACCGGTACGCCGGAGAACTGCATGAAGCAGCAGCATGGCGTAGTCCGTATCCGACCCCGCCAGAATGCCGAACCCTTCTTCGTGTTCTGCGACCAGAAAGTGCGCGACGGCGGCTGGACTTTGGTGGTGAATCGCAACAACGGCAACGAGGCCTTCAATCGCAATTGGGCAGACTACAAGATCGGCTTTGGCCCCCTCACAGGCGAGTTCTTCATCGGTCTGGACAAGCTGCACGAGATCACCAGCAGCGACAACTATGAGCTGCTGGTCCAGCTCCAAAACCGCAAGCAGGAGCTGCGTTACGCGCTCTACGACCACTTCAGCATCGGCAGCGAGTCGGAGCAGTACCGGCTGAATGTCCTGGGCAAGTATCAGGGCGATGCAGCCGATGGCCTGCGCCCGCACACCGGTAAGAAGTTCAGCACCCAGGACAAAGACAACGACGAGAGCGAGGAGAACTGTGCGGCAGTGCAGTCGGGAGCCTTTTGGTATGGCAGCAGCTGCAACCTCAGGTGGGTGTCTCTCTAAATCCAAGAACTACAGACTGAGATCTCTGAATACTCTATAAACACACAGCAATCCCTTTGGCGTGTATCAACGCACTCTGGAGCGGGATTTGGATGGCTACAAGGGTATCCTGTGGCGCGGCTTCCTGGACGGACCCAAGGGTTCCCTGAAAATAGTTCGCATGATGGTGCGACCACGTGGTGATTCGTAAATAAATATTTGTATATGTATTTCATAGCAACAAAGACACCCATTTGGTTATAAAACAATAAAAGTGAGGTTTAGAAACAAAAATAAAGTATAATAGCAAATTATAAAATTCAAATTAGATCTCGTTGAGCTTGTCGGCCGCCTCTTCGGTGGTCGTGGTGGTGCGAACTGTGGTGGTTGTGGTGGGATCCTCAGAGCCCTTGACCACCAAAGCATCACCAAAAACGGGCTTAAAGAAGAGCACAAAGCGGGAGTAGCGGCGGGCAGAGTTCTGGTAGTGAAAGGTTGCCGGCAAAGGTAAATTTTAAAATATCAAAAAAATATATCCAACTTGTAGACTTACCAGAATCAAGCGGGACAGCGACTTGGAGATATTGGTCACCGTCAGCAAGGATTTGTTGAGCAGCTCCGAGGGCAGCTCCAGGGAGGCATCGCTCTGGATTTCGGCGGCATCACTCAGATCCTTGCCCCCTGCCCTCCGACGCCTGGGGCCGTGGCTCTGCTGGATAAATAGATACACAAGTCGGGTGAGTAATCAGAGATGGCCAGAGATGAGCAGAGAGACAGAGAGTGAGAAAGAGAGAACCCAAAGATCCAAGGTCCCAAGACACCACTTCAAGGGCAAGGCCATTAATAAAACCAGGTGTGGAGTGGTTTTTTTTCTTTCCATTTTCGGATTTATTCGTTTTTTTCTTCTTTTTTTTTCATCGTGTTGTTGTTGTTGTTGTTGTGGTCTTGTATATTTATATTTCTATATATGCCGAATATTTACAAACATGATACTTAACTAGGGTGTAACAAAAAAAGGTTTGGGATCGAGGGTTTTTGGGGGAGCTCAACAAGGACTCCGATGGATGGATAGATGGAAGAGGAGTAGGAGGAGGAGGAGGTCAACGATAAATTACAGGCTCCAGCCGGAAGTAGCTCTCATTTGTGTGTTGTTGGCCTTCGCTTGTCTCGCTTGGATCCCTGCATCCCTGCACAGCATCCCTGGTAGCCTATAGTTAATAGTAGCCCCTAATAGCCCGCCTCATCCGAGTCGGGAGCGGGTGTCGTGACGCCGGCCAGGCCGCCGGTTCCGCCCGAGGAGCCCTGCAGGATCGGTCCCGAGAAGCCAAGGAACTTGGACACCACATTGCCCAGTCCAGCGTTGGGATTGCCATTTCCGGAGGAGGAGCCACTAAAAGCAGTGATGGTGGTGAGCACGCCGGTGGTGAGATCGTTGGCAATGTTGCCCAGCGAACGGATCTTTGGCGAGACGACGGCAGTGATCAAAGTCTGGAAGTCCTTGATGGGCACCGGCGACTTGATGTCCCACTGCTTGTTCTTCTCGATGTTGGCGCGGTCCAGCTGCTCGATTACCCGCGTCTTGGTGTCCAGGAAGTTGTCGATTTTCTGAATTTAATATATATTTTGATCTGCGACTGATTATATATATATTCTCGATTCTACTCACGCCAAAGACGAAGCCGAGCACGGCGTTCTTGGCCTCGAACGTGGCATCGGGCAGTTTTCTTTTGTTGCGCTCTTGGCCAACTAACACCTCCTGGAAAAGGGAAATCGAAGTGGAAAATACGGGGGTCACCACACATCACACACCTTATTATTAACTCACAGACTCCTTTCAATCTCCAAGTATCTATATGTTACTTATTCTTTCCAGTCATGTCTCTAATCTTGCCTAATTGCCAATCGATTGGATTCTTTCCCTAATTACACCTGAGACTGCAACTGAGACTTTGACTTCGACTTCGACTTCGACTGCGACTTCAACTTCGACTTCGACTTGGACTTCAAGTTTAATTGCCGCCAAAGACTTGGTAAACGATCAAAAAAAGGCACTCGACACTCGGGGCCAGTTAGACTTGACCCAATTTTCGGGGCTGACCGAAGAAAAAAACACTCGCACATAAGTAATTATAACACTTGTGCCGACACGGGGACCTTCGCTCATTCTAAGCCCCAGTCTATAGCCTAACCGATATAAATAAATATATAAATTATAGCGATCACTGCTTGGACGCTTGGACACTTAAAATTCACCTCGGCATTTTGGCCAGACCCGAAAGCAAGCCATATGTATGCACCTCGGTGTCAGCGTCCAAAATTCACTCATTTCCAACCAAAACGCATAGTTTGAGGGCTGGGAAACTGCACTGGCGGGGTTTAGTCTATGACTCATGTAGCTTTCTAAGAGGGAAATCAAGGGAAAAAACAGAGGACTTGCAAGGAGCTTTTGAGTGAGAAAAGTGAGCTATTTAAGTAGTAATTATCTTGTGGAAAAATCTAAGTAAAAGTGCGTCTATCTTTACTGTGTTTAAAAAAGAGGAAATTAAGATGTTTACTTGGTTTAAGAGCTTCTTTTAAGGGATCTTTGTAAATATTTTTTAAATATTTCTTGGACTATTTTACACTCTCAAATATATATATAAAGAACCTAATAGATAGCTATTTCAATAATAATTCCCCTTCAGCCCCGATAAGTAATCTAGCCAACAAAAAAACAGACAAAAGACAAGGTAAAGACAAAACGTTTAACCAAGATTTACCTTCAACCCACAGATTTTGATCACAACTAATATCTCTTAAATTATGCAACTCATTCGGGCGAGGGTAACTCGGCAATTTTTGGCTCATTGTTCTGCCATTCTCCCCCCACTCGAGAGGGTTTTCGAGATCTTTTTTTGAGATTGCCCAACACGGCGATTTATTAGTTTAACAAAACGCTAAACACATTACGCGATACGTTATACCTTTTGCATTTTCGCCTTTTGTTTTTGGGCCGTTGAAGTGACAAACAAAAAACGTGAGCTATGGTTTATATAGAGCAAAATCAGGTCAGTTGTTGAGGAGTTGAACGAGTGGCAAAGGGAAGGGTCTTGGGACTTGGGGGTAAAACTTGTAAAATGGTTAGGAAAATTTCCAACTGCCAGGAAGTAAAGGGGGAAATTATGTATGTTTCATATAGCACTTTGTTTTTCGAACCATCTTTCATGATTGGTTTTCCCTTACTAAATTTCAAAAATAATTTTCTCAATGCTCAATTTCCCCCAATCCCCCATTTCCCCCGCTCAATTAGCTTTCCACTACAAAGTGTGTTGGATCAATAAACACGAAGACGGGGGCCAGAAATAAATATATGTATTAACCAACTGTTGGAGGCGCGGAAATGTTTCACAATTTGTGCGAATAAGACAAGTGATGAGACTCCCTCTCTCTCTCTCTCTCTCTCTCTCTCCATCTCTCTCTGAGACCGAGGCGTTGGCTTGGCTTTCGGTTTTTTGGTTTTCGGTTTTTGGCTCTTGAATTGGTTTTGAAATGTTAACGTAGGTCGTTAACAAGTTTTGTCGCCACCAAGGTCGTCTGCCGTTCGACTTGAAATCGATTTAGCCAGAGCTTATACCCAGATTTGCATATGGCCAGAAGTCGGTTCAATGCACCAAATGGCCAAAAGCCAGGCTTAACTGCAAAATTAGCAGCTGCTGCTGGCACAAGTGAAGGGGCCACAGACTTGGCGGGCAGACAATCAAGTTTTCCCCCGGGACTTCCTAGTTGGACTTTTGGGTCTCTCTCTTTCTCCTGGTTAACCGTTTTTTTGGGGACTTTACCTCGGCATTGATGGGATTCAGATCCGGCTCACTGCTGTCCTGCAGGGCAGACTCCAGCTCCACATTGACCTGCTGGGGGGCTGGGGCGCCTAGCGATAGCGTCAACGAGGCCGATAGAAGGGCCAGCAGCAATAGGACGCGGCTCTTGGAACACTTCATCATCATGACTTGGGGATGGATGGATACTCTGCAAAGGAAAGGCAAAGGAAAACTATGCGTGAAACTCCAAATCAAATCAAATTCTCTATTTATTTTTCATTTTCTTTAAAACCAAAACACAAACTTTAAGCTCGAGCAAACAGCAAAACGGGGAACAAAAACGGTGCAAGTGGATCGAAGTTTTAAAAGGTCTGGGAGCCGCCGCCAGATACGCGATACTAGCACGTTCACTAACTTTAAGCAAATGACTGCGGACGAAAGTTACTTCAATGATTTAGCAGTGGCCAAAAAATCGGTTACACATGCGCAGAGCTTTTTGGCGTCGCCGTCGATGCCTCCGCCGGCGTCGCTGTCGACGCCTTGCATTCACGAGTCCGCCGCAAATTGAATTTTATTGCCGTCCGAATTCGTGGATTCGGTGGATCGCTTGGATTCGGGGGATTTCTTTGAGTGGTTACGTTGCTGCCGATGCTAACGCTGTCGGTGGCAGCGAGTGGAGCGTGGCGCCTACTGCGCTGCTAAGGGGAAACTCGTTTTTGAGCCAAAATGCCAACGGAAAGTGCTCAATAAAGTGCAAAACCCGCCGCTGCTGTCAGAGATGTTAAGTCATTTTGTTGTTTCTGCTTCTTTTTTTTTTGTTTTTTTGTTTTTTTCTTACTCGTTAATGGTGTTTCTGCAATGCGCTTTTAATTTGTACTCTTTGGCTTTCAATTAAGGCACACACACAGGCTCAACACACCGATAAAGTCGGTCATACGCGGCGTATGCGCAATGTGCATTCTCAAGCACTTTTTCGTCGTCCGAGTGAGACTCTGGAGTGCTTATATAAGGGTTGGCAGACCATTTACCAAAAAATTAACATATTATTCTCTTAAGCGAAAGGAACTCAATAGGTTTTCCGGGGAAAAAGGTACAGTGGGGTCTAAAAAATGTAGGAAATCGCTCCAGTATTTCTATAATTTATTATTTAATTTAAAAAAATCTAAAGTTGATCCTAAAGCTGTATATGAAAAACCTCCAGTATAGTTTAATATAATTATTATTTTATATACACAAATGTTTATTTTTTCTCATTTAATAATAAAATATTCCTCAACTAAAACCCCTATTAAAATAAATAAATTATTTAAATAAAGAACAAATTGCTCAACGCCTCCAGAGACCAGTTAAGCCGCCATCCTTGACCCTAACATTGACTTGGAATTTAGCATTTAGAACCGCAGCCAACTTAAGTCCAACAAATGCCTATGTAAAAACCCATGTTAATGCTTTTTCTCTGATTAATAATCAGCATAAATTATACGTATTTATGCACCAGTACAACAAGCAGAATAACAAGTCAAGAGGCGAAATAAAGAGCCCGAAGTAAGGAAAATTTAATCAAGTCGCTCGCCTTCGGACAACCGAAGTCAAAGTGCGCGTATCGAATTCAGAAATTTAATAACTAGAATTGCAGTTGCACTCCAAGCTGCTCTGATCCGATCCGATCCGATCCGATCCAATCTGATTCGATTCGATATGTGGTAATTATTCAATTCGGCATACCAAGTTCTGAATTCGCAAAAATTAACTAAATAATCGCCTGCAATTTCCATCGAATCCAAGTCAATTTTGAGATTTAAATTGGATTAAAATGGCTTCGAACAGAATGAGATCATCTTGGACTCGATTTTAGCAAGTTTATTAAGTTTGCATGATTTATTTAGCAATTTACAACTGTTTGCTAAGCAATTACAATTGAAAAGTTAATTTAAATTGAGGTTTAAATTTGCTAAAAATGCATTTTTATAATTTATTTCAGTTTTCAGTGATGATCCCTTTCTTTTTTATAGAAATTAACCTGTTGATCCCAGCCCTTCACTGCCACTCTCAGTCCAGTTGTGACTCGACGCCTTTCTACTTAACCCCTGGCCACCACTTAACCCGTTTAGCCCACCTCGCTGATTGACACAAAAATAAGATAAATCGGGGCAATTTGCTTATCAATGTTGCGGTATAAAATCAACGCCTCGGCCAAGGTCAAGCGGCTGCAAAACGGGACCGAAACATAACATAATCCTTAATGAACAGCGCACCTTGTCCCACTGGTATTTTTGTTTTTTTTTTTTTTTTTATTTTCTCTTGATTTTTGTGCAACATTTTATGGCCCAGTTAAAGCTAAATTAGTTACAAAAAAATAAAATAAAATGTACAACATTTCAGCAACCGCAAAATGGCAAAGACAAAACCAAAATCCAAAACGCAAAGTGCAGGCTTAACTGTCTCAGTTTTTTGTGGGTCACAAGGTTGGGCGATGTCTGGCAGATCGCAGAACCTGTGTCCAGTTCATGCCGAGTGCCTCTTTCAACTTTCAATTTTCAGAAAATTAAATGTGTCTCAGGGAAGCCCTTGAGTTGGTTAACTGAGGAATAAAGGCCTCAGCCAAGGCTTAAAAATTAAATAATTAATTAATTAAATTATAATTTCTTACTTACTAACTAATTTTTTGTTAGATTAAGTTAGTTATATTTTTTAAACCCTTTACAGGTCAACAGAGAATGAATGAAAAAGGCAGAAAAAGTATAAAGTATATATATTCTTAATCAAGATCTTTTCATCTAACTGTTTTCTAAAAAGTTGAATAAAATCGGTTAAAAACAAAAAGAGTTTTTAGGCAATAAAGATTCTTTGGATATTATTTGTTGCTCAACATGTTTCTGACTTTACAACATGTTTCTAGCAACCTTTTCTTAGGTCTTTTGCTTTGTTTAATTTATATTCTTAATCAAGATCTCAGCATCAAACTATTTTCTAAAAAGTTGAATAAAATCGGCTAATAAACAAGGTAGCTTTTAGGCAATATTTATTATTTCTTTTATTTTTTTTTACTAAAAGTACATATCTTGTTTTGCTGATTGCATATTATGTTCAAGATTTATTTTTTTTTTTTTTTTAAGACTTAGCCAGTTGCTGTTCTGCCTAATTTGGCAGCTCAATTAGCAAATTATCCATGAAAATTCAATTGCAGTCGCTCGGAGGCTGCGGCGCCTCAATTAGAACGCCATAATTGCTGGCCAGCCCCTCAATCAGTCAGTCACTCAGGCAGTCAATCTGTCCATCAGCTTGGCGAACGCGTGTCATAATGTTTATGACAGTAAAAACTAAAGAAAAAATCAAGTGAAAAACTGAAAAACAGAAAAAACAGACAGCCAAAAGACCTGCACTTTGTCTCTGTTTTTCTCTATGTTCATTTTATCGAAGGCAATCTCGCAGAAACATGCCTTACATGCTGGCCAAGACCCCAAAAGCGCCCCAAATCCTTGCCCAGCGATCTGACCCCCTGAACCCCAGGTGAGCGCTGGCTTGTTTTTGACTAGATCTTCATTGCGTTTCCAGTTAAGGTTTCCAGTTTTGGTTACAGTCGCGCTTTGAGCTTCATTTGGTCTCTGGTTTTTGTAAGGCAAAATGTCAGGGGGTAAGTTACTTTACATCTAGTGGCACTTGCTCTGGGGAGGGTATAGATATTATTCCACTGCAAAAAAAAAAACTGATTACTGATTTAGAGGCTTTTAAAGTACTTGAAAATGCAAAGTTTTCGGTTAACTTGTACCCTTTTTCTGCCATATGTTGGGGCATAATTTGGCATTGCCCAACCGACTTACACAACTTGGTTGTCATTATGCATTATGCGCTTGCTGGCTTCGGTTCGCGGCATTAATGTCACCTGCTCATCGCTGTTCTGGCCACAATGACTGGGCACTAAGTGCACGCAGGAAAATAACAACAACAACAAAACAGGTCCAACTAACTCCGGGTTCGAGTAACTTTACGATTTAAAAATTACAGGCCATAACCATTAACATAACCCGGCTTTCATTGGGGGCGCTTCGTTAGGCGGCCAAAGAGGCTCGTTAACCTGGCGGAGAACAGGCCATCATCAGCCACTCGATTCCATTTGCCACATGTACCACATATATATATATGTATAATTATATTTATATATCCGAAAACCGCCTGCAATGGGACTCTAATGAACTGTTGATGGCTTTACGCAAGTCTTTTACTAGGCGAATGCGTTTGGCTTTTGAACCCCGAGGAAGTGTTGCGAAAGGAAAACCCAGGAAAAGTAGGGGGGAAAATCCAATGAAATAGTGTATAAAAAATGGTGAATTTAAAAACAGTAAAAGAAGATTAAAAATTGTATTTATAAGATAAAAACAATACTTTCAATATTTTAAAGAAGAAAAGATAACATTTTCTTACTGTTGTTTGTCTGAAAAATCTCCTAAATTATTTTTAAAAATATCCTTTCTCTTTCTTAACTATTTCCCCATTATCCTTTCCTTCTCCTTGCTATTATTTAATGCTTAAAACTTAACTAAAGTCTTAAATTCTCCAATGAGCCATGAAAATTCCACATGATCTCCTAATTAGCTCAGAAACGCTTAAGCTTAATCGAAAAAAATACAAAAATAAAAACTAATTTCGCTTGAACTTAGCTCGCTTGTAAGCCAATTCTTTACATCAAAAGTTATTTTATTTTGTTTTGTGCCCAATCGCCGAGGCGAATTTAATTGGAAAAGGCGTTGCCAGTGGGCCATTCTCTTGACCTGGCCAAAGTGATTCGTTTCTGATTCTTAACTTAATTCTAATTCTAATTGTAATTCTTATTCCGACTCGAATTCAGATGTCAGGTGGCGTTTATTTGTTTACTCTCAGCCATTATAGTAATTATAGTATTAATAAATCTCGCCGCCGGCTGCCGACGAAGGTCGCCCCACCAATAATATCAATTTTTGGTGAGCTTTTTGAAAGGCATTTTGGATTCGATTAGCTTGCCTAATGGCCGTGCAGAACTTAGTGTTGTTAAATGAGCCGCAAATTGGAAATCACTTTTAAAGAAGCTTGTGCAATCTCCCCTCAAAATCTTGTAAAAATCCCTCCAAACAGTAAACGTTCATTCATGGTTTCCCCATTTAAATGTGTGAAAATTGTAATAATACCAGATGTTCCGATACGGAATCCAATGCTCATAATTGAAACATAAACTTGGAAATTTCATGGGATTTACATAATAAGCGGAGGCCCAAAAAGGGGGGCATTGTTTCATATATAGGGGCAATTTTGATAAGATTTCTCGGGATTGCACCAATCGATTTGCATAAGGAGAAGCATTTCATTACGAAAATGAACGCTGCGGCCTGGTCTGGTCAATAAACTTATTGACCGACTTTGATATGACACCTGCACATAACATATGTATGTGTATGTGTATATATATATATCTCTCTGACTGTAAAGACGCCCCCTCGCCGGTTTGCCTTCAACGCGTCCAGCTCGCGCTGCTCCACTTTCATGGCATTTACTTTCGCTTTCTGTTTTCAGTTTTCAGTTTTATTGCGGCTATTTTTCTGTATATTTTTTTCTGTCTGTTGATATTTTCGATTTGGCCGCAGCTCTCATCGCCGCTTTGTTGTGGCTTATGGGTTATGGCCCAGAGCGTTGACGGCTGCTGGGCTGCGTTTTGGCCTGAAGCTTATCTGGCTTGAGCCATCGCCACTGATGGGCGACCTTGAGACCGTTACCGGTTTCTTCGGGCCAGGCCAGGCCAGTCTTGCATGCTTTTTTTTTTTCTTTTTTTTAGTTGGTTTTTTAGCTCTGACTCTGATTTTGACTCTGTCCATCTTCAAGGGGTCAGCTTCGAGCTATACATCAATGGGTTACCAGGTAGTTAACCCCGAAAATTCCAGAAAAGTGGCATTGTCTTTGAAAGGGAAATCTAAGAGAATGCGTATAAAATAAATATAATTTCCTTAGAAATACGAAATATATTACTGAAAAGCTTAAATAGCACTCTTATTTAATTCCCTTGTATTTTTCCTTAATTATTTATATGTTGTACTAACTTAATAAATTTTTTAAAAATACTTTCCAACTTCTTATTAACATTGTAATATTTTTATTTACTTGTTAATTGCTTAAAATTAAATTTCAGTTATTAAAAACCTTCAAAACCTTTATTGGCAGAATAATAAAATAATAAAACTCTCCCTATTCAACGGACTGCCAAACATATACGATAATTGTTAAGTGATTTTGGCTTTTGTTAATTGATTTATGAAGCAATTAACGCATTCGTGTCTTCTTTGCTCGGTTGCCAAATTTCGGTAGCTAATCATTCCCCACTTTCCCCTATTCCCCCCTCCGTAAAGTTGTTTTGGGATAGACCTGACCTATGGCCAGTATTTTGAGTTGAGGCTTAGCCCAGTTAGCAAGTTCGTTGCCTAAGTCTTTTGTTTGGCACACATTGGCAGCTGGGACTTTGGGCCCTCTTCCCCCATTTTTTACTTTTTAGCAACTCAACGTATATAAAAACAGTGCTAACTCAATAAAGTGTATAAATTATTAAGTTATTATGGGTTTTTGATGGGTCCAATACCTTGACTTAAGGTTTTCTTCCTTTTTAACTTTATTTCTACAACTTTTAATTTGTAGTATATATATAGAGACCACTGTAACTCACCTCAGATTTATAAAATCAAGATGCCGCTTGCCAAACTTAATTGCAATGCGAACTTTTTTTACACACAAAACCACACTCTTGAGCGCCCAAATATATAATTGAGTTCATTAACAATTTCAAAATGCAAATAAACCAGCACAGACACCGCACACAAAAACAAAAAAAAAAAGCACAAACAAACGATAAACAATAAACAATAAACAAAAACTTAAGCTGAGGTTTTTCAAATTAAAAACGCGACAACTAAACGGCCCGCAAAATGTCACTTGGTCTTGTGAAAGATTCACGCATAACTGAAAGCCGGCTCTCTGACGGCTGAAATGTGCGGCTCCATTTGGCCACTTTGGCAACAGAGACAGCAGAGAGAGAGAGAGAGCAAAAGAGGAGACAGAGAGAGAGAGAGCGAGAGAAAGCAACAGGTAAAAGCATTGAAATGCAAAAAGAAAGTGACACAATGCCCACTCCATTGTCCAAAAACCCGAGTACATAGGCCCAGAGAAAGGTAATAAGGAAAACACGATTGCCAAGAGGCAAAGGCTGATCAAAAGAGAATATAATATAAATAATTCTTAATTGTATACTTTGACCTTAAATGCCTCTCTAATCTCTAAGAAGCATCTAGAAACCCAACCCCACAGCTCCCTGCTATACTCAACCCTCTCTTAACCCGCCAAAACTTAACTTTAATTGTAATTTAGCTTCCGCATCTCAGCATTCCATTCGACGATTTGCCCCACCGAATCCTGGGGGGGAGTTCCAAGTGAATTCCAGCGGATCTGTTGCATCAGCCGCCGTCCAGGCCCTGGGTTACGCCATTTGATTTAGGGCCTCTTTTTACGCTTTCTTAGCTGCCCAAGTGACCAACACACCAAGTCGTCTTCGCATTTCTTTTACTTTTGTTTAATTATTTATTACAAGCTAGCAAAAAAAAAGGGGGGAGAGTGGGGGTGAGGGGTGGCTCACCCCAACAATTAACGTAACTATATGGTAAACCGAAGAAAAAAAACTCAAACAGAGCAATAATAATGCAATGGAATGGCATTACACTTATATGTCCCCCATCTGATCGGTGGCTTTTAGAATGGCTCAAAGTCGTCGGTGTGGGGCGACCAGGATCGATGATGATCCGCCGGCTTGGCATGATGGCCACTGCTGCTGCTGGCCAGGATACCCTTGACAGCCCCCGAGGCTCCACCGGAGGCACCCAGGCCGGCGTTTAATATCAGCCCAAGGGCATTGCTCACCAGGTGTGAGGCCACCTGCTTGACGAATCCTCCAGAATCAAAGTGACTGGCCGCCGCAGCTGCCCAGCCGCCGCCCTCCTTCTTCTTGCGAGGGCGGGGTAGCTCTGCGCTGCCATGGCGCTCCTCGGAACCCTCCTCCGAGTTGGGCCGGAAATTGGCCTCCAGGAAGCTGGTGATGAGGTTTTTGGTAAAGGTCAGCGGTTGCGGGGGTCCCTCCTCCTCGGGATCCTAAGGGAAAGGGGGTGAAAAACGTACAAATTTTGTTAGTATTTCATGCACTTGAAAGTGACTTTATAGGGTTAGTAGCAAGGAGTCGAGTGAGAGGTATAAAAAGGATAAATACTGCGCTGGCTGCAGCCACCACGGTGCCCAGAAAGTTGCCCAGAAACTGGCCATTGGCAATCTGAAAATATGGAAATTTATTTTGTTTATAATTTGTTATAAATATTGTTTCTTACCGCTCCACCACCTCCTGATAGACCGTCCAAGGCTGTGCCCACATATCTGCCCAAAACCAGGCCAAAGTTCTTGTTGCCACCAAGAAGTCCCGAGATCAGCGAGGTAGAGCTTTGTATTAGACCCTGAATGTCCAGGCCACCGGGCTAAAAGAACACTTGGATAAGTACCAGCTGCTTGAGGGCTTTTCCTGAACTAGGACTCACCCCAAACAAGGTGGAAACAACGCCTGTGAGGGCTCCTATTAGAGCGCCCACATCCGAGCCACCTTCACCCTGGAAAGAATAAACTTTAGAACTCATTTGGTTGGCTGATTTAAGGATTATGCCGACTCACACCGCTCAGGCTGCCAATGAGCCCCACCAGACCACCGCCACCGGCTCCAGCTCCTGCCCCGTCTGCACCTTCCATCTCGCCATCGTCATCTGCGTCATCCTTGGCCAGCTCCGAAGATCCTGAGCCAGCAACATCCGTCTCCTGCTTCTCGGGCTTGGCACTCACTCTGGCTTTACCTTTGGCTGTAACATTTGGCGACTTCTGGAGGCCATTAGAAGAGGGTTAGGTGAACCAAGTCAGGATTGGGTTAGCTCAGGTATTGCCTCAAGGGTGTATATGTACATATTTTCTGGCAGGTTAGTCACAAAGCGCATCAATTATTCCTTAAACTCACCTTGCTGGTCACCTCCTCATCCTCCAGCTCTGGGGGATCCACTGCCTCTATTTTGAGCTGCCTTGGAGATCGCTGCTCCAGCATATTCTCCTGGAAGTCATCCTGGAAGCGCAAGTCATGAGCCTGGCATTGCACAATAGTTATTTTTCTTGGCTACTTTCGATTTCCCGGGCTTTTCCGGACTTACCTCCGAGAGTATGGACTTGATAATCCTCATTTCCTGTGGCATTTGCTGCTGCTGCTGCTCCTCCAACTCGGTATCATTCTCCTTTTTGACCTGTCTTTTACGGATCACCTTCTGCTTGGCCTTGGCCAGGACACCATCATCCGAAGCCGTTTCCAGTAAATGCTGTAGAGCCCCCTCGATCTTGGCCTCCAACTCGGTTTTCATCTGCGGCACCTGCCTGAGTATGTTGAGCCTCAGCTGGCCCAGTCTCTCGCCCAATCGCGGCTGATCCGTGATGTCGGCGGAAAGCTCTTGCTGGTGCTGCTCCTCAGCCTTCTGCTGTTGGGCCATCTCCTTTAACTCCAACCGGAACTCATGGTCGTCTTTGGCTCGCGCCATCACATCCATCACTCGGGCGAGGATGTCCAAGGCTCTCTGGTCCCGCGACAGCTGCTGCTCGATGGCATCGATCTTGGCCAGCACTATGTTGCTCTCCGTGAGGTTCGTTTGGTGGACCAATTCCCGAACGGCCTCCACCAGGTTCTGTTCCATCTGCTCCTCCGCCTGCCGCGCTCCATTCAGTACTCCAATTCCCGTGAGTGCTCTCAGCTCGTGTCTGGGCAGGATCCTCTCCAGCCGACGGTAGGCAGTGACTGCCTTTAGGTAGTGTGACTGCAGCTCCATTCCCTGAACACCGGGCCGGCAGTCCACCGAGCCTGGCCACAGGACCAGTCCCAGTCCCAGTCCCAGTCCCAGCAGCAGGAGCAGCGATCGCGGCACTCGCAGGTTCTCCATTGGCCGTTTGCAATGTGACTGCGCCCAGGAGGCAGCGATGCCGCCTCATATAACATTGTCTGGCCGATCGATCGATCGATCCCTTCACGGTTAGCTGCTTCATGGATCCTCCCACAAGACCGCCCACTCTTTGGCTGGCGACTCCGGGTTGTGCAAACAACGACATTTGTGGAGCCGATCAGTGTGGCCTGCTTCTTCATACGCAAATTTTCCGACATCTTAATTAGGGGGCTGTCTTCTTTTCCGGCTGAAACTAGGTGACATTACTCAATCGGTGGGTATCTTCGGGCATAAAAAGAATGTAAATTCAATCAAGGAGAAGACTTTGGCTTCAAGATATACATACATACATTTTTCCTTTTTAAAAATAATAAATCATCTTGAATGTAACTAAAAACCCATCTAGATCTTCAAACGATCTTTGAGCCACTATTATTTATCATAATTATAAAGAAGCAGCTTCCTTTTCTTAATTATAACGACCTGTACTTACGATTCTCACTGCGATTTCCTTAGTTTTTAAGTTTACTACGGCTTTGGGGGCTGCCATTAGCTGATTTTCAGAATCAGAAGCCATTTGGGGAGCCATTAGACACTCTCCTAATGGGGCCATTTCCCCCTGCCGGCAGTTGGAGGTGATTGAATTTAAGGTCTTACATAAAACACCGAAAAAATGGGAAAATGGAAAAGTGAAGACAGGTGCAGGTGTCGCAGTTATGCGTGACTGTTAATTAGCATCGGCCATTAGATAAATGGCCGAGGGATTGAGCTGGGCCCCGAGCTAGGCCCCATGATAATCGCTGGGGTTACTGACTGCGACTGCGACTGGGATTATACCTGGGGATTACGTGAGTGGAAATTGCATGGGCGGGCGCCGGAGGGGGTGGGGGGGCAAAGCCAGGTAGTCCAAGTCCAAGCCGCAACTCGTCACGCTCGTTTAACCTTTCAAGTGCGCAGAGATCGGCTGGCAGGCAAAGAGGGGTTAAGCCGGGGGGTCGGATCGGATCGGATCGGATCGGCATGACATAAGCGTTAAACGCAATTCCCACCGTTGAAGCGTGCCTCGGTGGGGTTACTTAGGCAAACAAACAAAAAAATCTACGGAAATCTACAGAGAAAAACTTGGGAAATATATTTTAAAAAATATATATTAAAAAAAAAATAAATAAATTGCAATAAAATTTAATAAAATTAAATATTAAATGTTAAAAATATAATAATGTAATATTAATTATATTATATTAATTAATTTTAAAAATTATAAAAACTTTTTTTTTTTTTTATTATTGAATTTTATTTTCCTTATAATTAAACCATTTTATTTAAATACTTAAATATCAGGTAATTAATTTTTTCTCAGTGTAAAAAAATATAAAATAATAAAAATATAATAATAATTATAATATATTTATAAATATTAAAATTATAATTATTTATTTTTTATTATATTATTGAATTTTATTTTTACCTTATAAATTACATTTAATATTTAAATTTCTGCAAAATAATTTTTTCTCAGTGTCTTAAAAAGAGGAGCACCTACCCTTAAAATAAATACTCAACAGCCGCCACAATTGTGTGGCTCAGACAATAATGATATAATTGTTTCACTCTGCGCAAATGTTGTGCCCTTTAATGCTTCGACTGCCCTCGGAGGGCTCTTAATTTAAGCCATAATACAATGGCAATGCTTACGATCTGATATTGTCTTAAGTATATAAGTCACTTGTGGCATTCATGGGGCGATGAGTCAGGCTAATTAAGCCTCTGAACTTTGGACAGATTTTATGGAAGATTTGAAATAAAATTGCTGTATTTAATCTGAGTCACTAAGACCTATTGACATTATTTGGCCTTTGTGGTTAGTTTTATATATGAAAATAATATTTTATTGGGAATTTTATTTACAAATTAAATTCAATTTTAAAATATTTAAAGCCTTGCCTTGAGGCTTGGCCCCAAATAAAGTCTGTAAACCAATTTCAAAGATCACAAAAGTGTCTTTTAATATTTGTATCACTTAATTTTACATGTCTGTTTAGTGTTTTTTATAACTAAGGCCATATTTAAAAATCATACGAAATTCCGTTTAAAAACATGCCAAATAAACACTTCAAATGCGACAGAAACCAAACTTGTTAAGAGTGTTTAAATTCCGATCAATCTTTTGGCTTAGCCTTCAAATGGAAGCCATTTTCGAATGTCTGATTATAAATTTCGAAGCTCATTCAGTTGTATTTTAATAAATACTTGACCACTTTTCCACCATTAAATGTTTTTTCTTATTCTTCTTATTGTCTTTGTGCTGCTGACAGCGAAAAAATCCCTTTTGATAGGGCTCTCAGGCGGAAGCGGAAGTGGAAATGGAAATGGAAGTTGGAAGCTAACCGCTAATGAGCCATCGGCACTTGACATTGTGTACCTGCAGAATAACGATCTCTGGCAATTAGGTTTGTTTATTGACAATTGTCAGAAGCCGAGAAGCGACAAGGCACTCCAACTTCTCAAGCCAACTTCCAACTACCAAGACTCTGGTGCTCGATAGTGTTTGTATGTGTTATTAACACATATCTTTGTGCAATAAATAATAACCTTGCCAAATCGTTTGACTTCGTTTCGCTGCTTGGCAACACACACAACACAGACACCGAGACGGAGACGGAGATTGAAACGGCGAAAGAGACAGCCACTACTAGTTGCAGTTTGCAGACAACTTTTTGATTTTGATTTTGATTCGGATTTTGATTTGGTTTAAGCCAGCGACCAGCGAGAATTAGCTGTAAACTCTGCACTTTTACGACGCCCAGTTTAAGTTTATGTGGCCATACCCTAGTCAGTCTGCTGATTACAGAGATATATCGAGAATAATATCGATATTATCAGGTTTACAAAATATCTAAAAATGTAAATATCTCAAAAAACCATGGTAAAATTACCTTTCAGGTTATAGTTTAAGCGAAAGAGTAAGCCAAATCGTAGAGAAAGGTAACCTAACTTCTAAAGCAAAACCCATACCGATAAATAATAACCTAAATATTCGATAAATATAGATAAGTAAACCCCAAGACTCCGATACCCTCTCCTTTCTAACTTTAATTTCCGTCGCCTGAACTTTGGCTGCTTTTCGAACGGAATTGGAGCATGGCTGACAAAAAAAAAAATGAATACGACACTACGGACCAGCGACAGATCCGTTTGTCTATGAGAAATCACCAGAGTCTCGGGCCAAACACACACAAAAATTAACATAATAAATAGCGCCATAAATATTAAACGCAAACTAGTTGCTGCAATTTATATTTTTTTCCCCCTTGGCCACAGGCGTCGATTCGATTCCATTGCAGACTCTTGGCGCTTGTTATACAATTGGCTTAGCCCCTGAGCCGCAAACAATGCCGCTTTGAGCCGCTTTTAGCCACTTTCGGCCATTCAACGCACTCTTGGCCATCGGCAAAAGTCCTTCGAGTTAATTTCTGCTAATTGGTGGAGTTAAGAAACGGCCGGCAATGCCAAAGATACACAGAGATATATGGCTTATCCGTAAACCGATGATAAGCAAATAGCCAGGCGGACTTTGGCTTTCAAAGCCAAAACTAGTTCAACCGATCGTTATTCTTATATGCTAATTCTGGGATCAAATAAAACCCAGTGCATGTTTAAATTTAGACTCTTTTTTTATGGTTTTAGTACGCTGGCGCATTAAAAGCGATTTTATTTGGCAATTAACTAAAATTAAAATGACCTATGGGAAGGCTGAAATGCTAAGGCAATTTTCATATAATTTTTAATGTTTCCTAAATTCGGTTTGTAGTTTTAATTTATTGTGATTATTTATGAAAGGAAGAAGTCCGCATAAAATATATATCTAAAATATATTTATGAAAATTCGAAATTGTTTTATTATAATTTCATATTTCTTATAACAATATCCCCCTCGGGATTTCCACTTCAGACATAAATGACCCAATTGGATTTGCTCTCCCGCTCGCCAATCGCCACTTTGTTTGCGCCAACTCACGGATTTAATTATTTACAGCTCTTTTGCAGCGGTTTCTCATTTATTTCTGCATTATTCGGACAATCACTCCGATCAAAGCCAGACAGTCTAAATTTAGGCAACAGCCGCCAGAAGGCGACTGCCTGACTGCCTGATTGATATCCAGCCACCGAGTTTTGGCCAGTCACGGCGGCATAGAGTGGCTTACAAACATTTAGTATTTATTTTAATATTAAATTTTATAATTTTATTAACTTTAGAAATTACCTAAGATCCTGGCCTCTTACTTTTTTAATTTAATATTTTTTTAATATTATTTTTTATAGTTTTATTACTTAAAAAGTTGTTTAACTTCCTGGCCTTAACGGTTTTTGAATTTATTTATTTTTTAATATTATATTTTATAATTTTGTTAGCTTCTGTCCTCTATAGTTTATGAATTTATTTATTTTTTAATATTACATTTTAAAATGTATTTAAATTTCTACAATTTACTATAGTTACAACACTTTCTATAAGAACAATAGCTCAGAAGGCCAATTGCTAGGATAAGTTTATTTTTGCCAAATCGGAAAAGGTTCCGTTCCACCTTAAACCAAATGTTTTTTATTTTATTTTATTTATTTTTTATTTATTTTTTTTTTTACACTAACTCTTCTATTTCTTTGATTACTTTTCTTTCCATTAATTCATTAAGACTTCACATTTTTGCCTCTTGTGTTTATTTTTATTTCAAAATATTTAAGAATGCCGCCCTGAAAAACCACTTTCCAGCGCTAACGTATCCCAGTAGGCTTTTGCAAAAATCCCTGTAGGTGAGATCCTAGTTGAACCCTGAAAAGCAGGCTACTTGCCGCCGGCGGTGGCCTAACGGGTAGAGAGGACAGCCCGTTCAGAGGAAGACAACAGGCACCGCCGGCCCGGGTTCGAATCCCGGTGGAATAATGAGCATGGAATACAACGACGACGCCCCTTATAATAATAAAAATCAAAAATGAGCGCTGCTGTATAATTAACTAAATATATAAAACCACAGTGATGCCGGGCTGCTACGACATCTACAAAGAAATCGGCTTCCTTTAGCAACAAAATTGTGTAACGTGTAAACATAAAAATAAAAAAAAAAAAATCGAAAAATATATTTTTGAGTTTTTACAGATTTTTTAACTAGCAATTTTACAAGCTTAGATGGTTTTTATTTCGTATTCTTTTAATTTTTTTTTAATTGTTAAAATATTTATTTATTAATCAAACTATTTAGTAAATAAGCCACAATGCCTTCACTACAACTAAAATATATATGTTAAATTTAGTTGTTGATTGAATATTTTTCAAGCACTTAAATTACCTTAATTAAACTATTTATAGACTTTTTCCGACTCTTTCATAAACCGTAATACCTTTGAAAAATAAAACCTGACCGATATCACGTAATGTTCGGGGTAAAAAAAGTCTGATAAATCATACCCGCCCACCCTTTTTTTCACGCCCCCATTGAACTTTTTAATATTTTTTTGTTGTATTTTTTCGGTGGGCCACTGCCACCATGTTTGGTTTGCCAATCAACTGAAAATGACGGCCAAAAACCAAAAGCCGCCGCAGCCGCAGAGTTGTTAACATGTTAACTTGGCTTAAATGCATTATGACTTTTTTTTCGGCCTTTTACACACACACACACACACACAGCGAAGCAATTGGCAAAGTGTTTCAGGGAATAAAGCGAAATTTAACGATTTAACGAGCTCATTGGTACGCTCAGGCTTTTGTTTATATATATATAAATTTAAGAGTGAATAAAGATATATATAATATAATATATATGGAAGAAAGAGTTGGAAATTTGGTTAGTTAGCGGAGAAAATGTCTCAGCTATGCATATTAAATAGAAAAGTACACACATTCCTCCTAGTTTCTTAGTTATTTAATTAATTGCATATAATATTATGTATTTTAGGGCATCTCACCATCACCTGGGGCTGACAGCTTCCTTTTCAGGCCAGAAATCAAGTTGTCCGCTTGCATTTGGGGCAATTTGAGACACTCAAACGAACGAACAAACCACTCGCACTTATTATTAGTAATTGTTTGCAATTAGTCAACGGCTCAGACAGAAAACAAATCCAAGACTTTGGCAATCGCTTTAATTTATGCAAGGCTCTCGGCTGGAACGTGACAAGAGTCACACGGTTCAGCGTTCGATTGATATGTCTCTGAAATCGGGGCAAAGTCCGGTCCATAGATCATCATCATCTTGCATCCGGGCCCAGGGTCTCGCCTTGAGTACCCATAAAATCGGGGAAATTAGGTACAACAGAATGAGTACTTTGAACGCTGACAATTAAATCAAAGTCCAAGGAGAGGAAGAGCAAAAAAAAATCCAGTTAGGCACACTTGAAGAAATAGTAGAGTCCCAAGAGATATATATCAGCTGGCCAATTAAGAGGGGCAACCACTGTGTTGAACTTGGCTTAGAATATCCACTTGGACAGGCTTGTTTTCGCAGTGCACCTTGGAGACACAGACACTGGGTCTGACATGTCACACTCTGGGCCCTAGGCCCTGGGCCCCAGCACAACCTTGTTATTGTCTATGGCCTGTCATTAAGGCTGCACAATGGCAGCGACATCAACTGCGACACCGGAGCCACTCCGTCGATGTCTTTACATTTAATTGCACCATTGGGCACACGGTGCCGGAGCTGAACTGATGCCGCTCCTCCAGCGCCAAGTCGCTCCATTTAAAGCGATGTCAACGTGGCCGCTACAAGAGTCAGAATTAATTGATGCGCCATGAATTGGAGTGTTCAATGGCAGGGACACCAGTCAGTCAGCCATGCCTTATGGTCTTGCCCTGAAGCAAGAAGCCGAATTAATCGCACGGGTTCATCGGTTAACATTTGATATGGGCGGTGGTCTTGGGAGGGAAATAAAAGAGCAGGCTCTGGCCCAGGGTAAGGGAGGGGGTTTTTTATTAACAAATTATGGTTTTTAAAATACAAAGAAACTAATTTATATTAAAATTAACTTACAGTATTATTTTTCATTTAATTTGTATTTAAAAAATTGAAAAGTACGAAAGTACGAAGTCGAAATTCAATTTTTAAAGCTGTTTTTTCGCCGAAGAATACTTTGTATTATTTTAAATATTTTCGAATAAGTACTATTTAGTTTTTTTTACAATTGCCACTGTACTTCCAGTAAAAACAGTAGCCTAGAAGGCTAATTGCCGGTTTTATTTAGCTTTTTGGCAAATTGGACTAGGTTCACTTTCAGCTTCAGTCAAAAATTGTTTTTTGTATTTATTTTTTGTTTAATATTTTATTTATTTATTAATTTTTTTATGTATTTTTATTCTATTATTTCACCAACTTTATAAATTCTCTTTACTTTTCCTTAATTCCTTAAAACGTAAGTAGCTTTCTAGCTTCCTTTTGCACAACAATTGAAAATACTTTAAATAGAAATATTTTAGAAAAATTATACTTAAGCCACAATTTAAATTTAAGTAATTACCAATATTGTTTTAAATAAACAAAAAAACAAAACCCCAGCTCAATAATGGTTTACAATATGTCCCGGATTTAAAGGTTGTTGGGGTTCAACTCTTGGGTCAAAAGCTAATCACTGCCGCCCTAATGCCAACGACACAATGGGGTGTGGCAGAGCAACAACAATAACAACATCAACAACAACAACACCCATCAGCTTGGAGACAATAGAGGTCCGGCCATTAAAGCCAATTTGGTTGTCATTTTCGATTTGGCAGCTTTTGCAAAAAGCGAACGACCCAAGCGACTGAGACTAATTTCATAATTTTTCTTATTTTTTTTTTTTTTTGTTCAGCTGTAAACCGTGAGTTGTTGTTGTTGTGCCCCAATGCATATATGCATATATACATATATATGCTTGTGTGTCAAAATCTAATTCACCTTAAACTGATTTCGAACGCATGCAACTTTTTTAGTGAGTCTCTCTCTAGTCGCTAGCCAGAGTCACTAAGCCGACCGACTGACTGATTTTGGCTTCACTTTTAGCTAGCATTCGCCTTTTGCATTTAGTTTTTGCTATTGCGAGATACTTTATCTGCCAGATCCAGTAGCTCCAGTTGGTACCACGCGGCGTATGCGTAATTTGTGGCCCGCCATGCATGTCTGCCTGCCTGCACTTCCACACACACACACATATACACTCTGGTTGGTCGTTAACCCATGGCAACCGCAGATCTTGGGGCCCCACTCCCAACTGGTTACCGGTTATCCTTCAGACGAAGGTAACGCAGAGAGTCAGAAAATACAAAACCTATAGTAAATGAAAGAGCGATGCTCGAACCAATAATCAAATCGAAGCGAAACGAATCGAAACGAATCGAATCGCATTGAACAGCAGCTTCCGGTTCACACTGCCCCAGCACAGTGGCACTTTTTTGGGAAATATGATTACAAGAAACCAAAGATAAACACATACATTTAGACCTTAAATTGTAGATACAAAGAAAATAAGGAAATTCAACAAGAGAAACCATTTTAATGCCCAAAATAAATCTAGAATAATTAAGAAATATATTTTAATTTAGGGTAAATTTTCTAGATTTTCTTTAGGCATTATTTACTGTACCTTACCTGCTGGAATTCCATTCACTCACGCACTGAAAATGTCGTTGGTGCTTCTGCTTTAGCTCCCTTGGAAGGTCAGATTGAGGCTACATCTTCACAGCATCTCCATTATTATAATGATCTTCATGATCGATCATTCAAGAACGTATTATAACTGTCGCTAACCACAGATCGGCGACATTGTCTTGCGGTTGGTCAGTTTTCAGTTTTTAGTTTTTAGCTTTTAGTTTTCATTTTTGTTGTTTTCTGTTGATTCTTTTTCGAGCTTTTGTGTCTCTTTGGCCGAAGGTTTTTGCCTTTGATTATTATCGAGTGGCTTGGCCAAAGTGCATGGCCAGCATGACAGGGCGGAAATTTTGTGGGCTACCTTTAGGTTCCAGTTTTTTTTTTTTTTTTTACACCTTTTCGTAGGCAATCGGTGCCGGAAAGCCCCCCAAAAGTTTTCACGGAACCGAATAACTTTGAGTGGAAAATCAAGTTCAGTGAACTTGTTTGAACTCAAATTTGAAAATTTTGATTTTAAATTCGGCTAGAAATATTTTAATTGATTTAAATTTGAAATAAAAAATAAGTTCTTTGAGTTTTATTAAAGGTAATATATTTTTTTAAGTTCTTGTAAGCCATTTCCCACATTTTCTCGAAGAATTAACTCTGTAAAACTCTTTAAAAACTTACTCAGACTTAACCAATCCCTGACTCTATCAATTTCCCTTTGAATATTAATCATATTCATCACGATTTCCATTTGGCTCACGACTTTGTAATAATTTTCTTGAGAATCTTTCCAGTCAAAAACCTATTTGTTTTGGGTTTTGGCCAATTGCGGAATTGTCAGGCAATTCGAATTACGATTGAATGGTCGATTGTTCGACTGGCAAAATGGCAATCGATAAACGATTATTGGCAATCGACGATGATCGTGCCTGACAACCCCAATAACAACAATGGGGATGCGCAGCTGCAGGAGGTTGTGTAAGCCCACTAAAAAAATACTACTAAAAATTACAAATAAAAATACAAATGGAAAATGGAAAATTGAAATGAAACGGGCTCTAATCCTGGCCACGGCCCACTGACAAACATCCAGCTGATGGGGATTGACAAACTGACAAACTGAAGCTGGCAGTCACGAGGCGGAAACTTTTCGCGTAATAGTGTGGCCCGAAAAAAAAAGCAACAAAATCTAAAAACAAGACGTACAACAAAATGGTGAAAATACATCAAAAAAAAAAAAAAAAGGAAAACAAAAAATATCCAGAGAGGAGTAAAAATGCTTAAAAAATACAACCAAAATGCACTCAAAAAGCAACGCCTGGTCAAGACGCCGCAGCGACTCAGGCCCGACTTGTGGCTCACTTTCGTTTTCGTTTCGAGCGGTTTCAAGAGCGAGACGAACGGCGGAGGGGGGGAGGAGCAGGCGGGCTGGTTGGGCGCCGCTGCCGACGCTGAGCGTGCTGCTGCTGCCGCCGCCGCCGGCGTCGGAGGCGCGCTTTGTCTCGAGCTTTAGTCGCTTGTGTGTGATAAAATCACGTTAGTAATCAATTGCAGGCCCAACAGCCCGGACCACAGAGCACTGAGAGCAGCTACGATCCGCCAAGCCACGATCCACAGATCCACAGATCCAGCGATTTAGCGATCCACTTGTAGCCACCATCGCACATATATTTTTTTTGGGCTGTTTTTTTACAACAAAAAAAGGCAACCGCCTCAGTTAAGAAACGCGTATGTATCAACGTGGTGTGCAAAAATATACAATATAAACTATTAAATATATATTAAAAACAAAAAACTAAAAACCAAACGCGAGGATACGCCAGCAAAATACAAAAAAAAAAAGACTTGAGCAAAACTAAACAAAAATTTATAACCAAAAACTTGAAACACTTTTTTTCAATATTTTTTTTTAATGTGCCTAAAAAAACTCATAAAATTATTGGTTTGTGAATGAAAAGTATGATTTAAACATCTAAAGAAAATCCCTAAAGAAAATTCATCGTCAACAACAACAACAACAACAAGAAATACCAAAACTAAAACAACAAGAAAATTTAACGCGTGTGCTGAACTATTTTCGATCTTGTCTCATTTCCCATTTGCTGCCTTCATTACCTCGCCTCGATTGCCCAATTAATGCGAGTTGGTTAACAGAAAACGGTTTTTGATTGCCAATTTCCAAGTTGCGTTTCGAGAGGTCTTTTTCGTGTTTCGTTTCGTGTTTCGAGTGCTGAAATAACTGGTCGGGGTAGCCTCAAGCTCTGCCCAGGACGGGGGGGTTTTTCCTAGAATGGAGCTAAAAAGCAAGGCTAAGATTCTGGAGGGAATCTTTCACAAGCCGGTTTAGTTAAATCACGTTTTTAGGAATTTTCTAGAATTTTTCTGTGTACATTTTCAAGCTTCAATTTCAAAATTTGAATATACCTATAAAATACTTGGTTCCTTTTTATTTAGAATTTTTGGGGTTTTTTAATATAAAATATTTTTCTTAGAATTATTGAGAGTTGGTTTAAAGACTTCAAGCGCGTGTCAAGGTTATCTAATATTTTATCTAAGCATAAAATTCAAATTTAAATATTCTAAAATTCCTTTTCAAACTCAAACCCCTCATTATTTATTCCCTAATATGATTTAAGACTTACAAAACTCTTTTTTTAATGTTATAGTAATATTCAAAAATGATATAACATCACCGTGATATTTTCAAGAATTTTCCTTCAACCCCCCAAATGTCAATACCCCCAAGACATTACTCATACGCCTCGTGTCCCTGAAACCAGGCCCTGCTGCTGTTAATTGCTAGTCCACAGGAAGTGCACTTCAGATCCGCGGATCTAATCTAGCAAGTCATTTGGTTTAGTTTTTAAATTGTGCACATGTCACACACACACACTCCTCGCCTTAACTCGATGTCGAAATCGCGGCAAGAAATCCCACTCAAGCCTTGATTATCACAGTTGTTTTTTGGGGCTTTGCCTTTTTAATTACGACATGTCCATGTCGGAGCATGCACTCAATGCCAGATGCGGATTTTTGTATTTTGTATTTTGTTTTTTTCTTTACTCTTTTTGATTTTTATAAGTTTTTATATGATATTTGTGCAATAAGCAGAGTCGCAATCATAAAACCCACCCAGTTCCGTATGCAAAAATAATATTGTTTGGAATATGTCAAGTCACGTTGGAGTGTCGTTTGGCGATCACAAATTACACTGATCACTCGCTACTAACAATTGTTAGAAGCCAAATGGATCAGGAGAAAAGGGAGGGGAGATATCCGAGAGAAAGAGAGGCAAAGCTTGAAAGTAAAAGCAAAAAGCTGGCAGATGACATAACACATCTTGGACATGTTGTTGCCGGTTGCGTTGCGCTCTCAGCCACTCTCCCTCTCTCTCCCTCTCTCTCTCTCTCTCTATGTCTTTTCCCTCTTTCCTTACTCTTTCTCTTTTCTGTTGTGCTCGCCTTCGTCTGCTTTTGGCGCTTACGCCCTACTTTGCCACTCTTTTCGGGCCCAGTTAAAACCTGGGGCTCTCTGCTTGACCATATTGCATGTTGTGAGCGTTGCTCCCCCCTTTCACCCCTCGGCATTGCCAAATTGTTGAACTGACTTGACTGATTGCTTGATTGACAGCCAGACAAAGCGGCCAAAACAAAACGGCCGAAAATACACCTTCAAGTTCACTTCTTGCATGCCTCAGCTGAAGATGACTTTGGGTGTTTCCCAAGCTCATTTCATTTCTCAAAGAGAAATATGCTTAAATCGGTGTATTTACTATTGTTAATAATACTATAAAAAATTTCTCAATATTTGTTTTATGGGGCAATCAATTATTATGTGAAATTCCGTAACATTTTAAAGGGGGTTTCGTAATTTCTTTTAATTTTTATAAATATTTAAAGCATTTAATGGAGTGAACAAAACATTTGAAACCATTTAAATATAATTTGAGTCACGATAAAAGTGCTTTAGTATACGTATTAATTAATTAGTTAATTAATAATCGATGACTAATGTCTAGGTCTAGTATTTCTAAAGGAATCCCGGCTGCTTAACCCCTGATAACTCACACTAGACTCACCTTAACCTTTGAGCCCTCTTCAATGTCAACGTATCAAAGTCTAATAAGGCAATTGGCGATACTAAGTGGCAGTTTCCCTTACTATGTACTTAGTTTCTCTCATTAAAAATGGTTTTAGGATGACTAATATTTTGTGTCCGTTTTTTTGTGTTGCTTTGTTGACCAAAGAAATTATATTCAGTCGCCTCTTCGAGTTTATTTTGAATGCATTTTCTCACATTTTTGTGTGTAATTATGGATCATGCTTGGCTTTTCGCACCTGTCGGGCTCAATTTCTTTGCAACAAAAACCCAACTTTAAAAAGCTTTTGCCAGGGAATTTGCACAGCAAAAAATTAAAAAAAAAAAAAAAAACGAGTAAAAACAATAAAAAAAAACCCACTCAGGTAACTGAGTACCAAACACAAAAAAGTGAAAAAGAAAATTACATAATTCTTAATGCCGTGTTGTTTTCTGTTGTGATTTATAAGTTTGCCGCTGCTGCTGTTGTGTCCACATACTGCTGCGCGCATTACTCATACGCCGTGTTGCCCAAGAAAAGTCCAATATTTAAACTTGACCAAACCGCAGCCATATATATACATACCTGGCCATATATTGACGGTTGTCGTTTGCATCCGCATCTTGTCGCTTAGACCTTGGCTGAAAGAATGGCCAGCAAATCAAACAGAAACCGTCAAGATGATAAAAAAATATGTTAACAGAAAACCGAAATGAAACGCGGTTTTTTTTTAACTTATCTTGTAGACTTTTAATGCGGCGCGATAACAGAAGGTCATCGCGCCGACCTTTATCGAATTACCATTAATTAGCATGCCCTCTCTTTTCAGCGCACACACACAAACACACACAGACAGAGACAGCATGAGGCAGCCCAGCAGACAGCAACTCCTTGCACTCGCTCTCTGCAGCGCCGTCTGCCTGATCAGCGCCGTGCCGCTGCCTCAACCAGCCGGCAACCAGGAGCTGGATGTCCTGCAGATACCACTGGCCAATGGCAAGGTGAGTCTGGATTCCTGAAAAGGAATAACGGTAGATGAAATAAGTTGGAAGAAGGCTGGATTTTGATACCCTTCGCAAGCTTGCAAAGCACTGAAGCAGTCATTGCCCACCCTATAAATCATATATATTCTTGATCAGCATTAACAGGCGCTTCTTTCTGACTATCTCGGAAAGGAAATACAATTTTTTAATTTTTTTCAATATCTGATAAGGGGTTACATCATTAAAATTCTTAAAAATGTCCAAAAATTTGGATTTTTTTAAATTTATAATTTAGTATGCAGATTTGTTAACCCAGAAAAAACTGGATTAAAACAGCTTTCCAAACTGAAATTAAAGCATTTTTCACTGAGTTTTGATCAATAAGGGTATACAAATTTCGGCTTTACACAGTTAATTTCCTTTATTGATAATTTTTATTTTTTTGCGAGGTTTTTTTCAAGGTTGTCTAGCTCTTTTAATTAATTTATTAACCTATAAAGCATATCAGAAGGATAAATAAACAAAGATATATTAATATATTTAATTACTAATTGTTCTGTATAATTTTTTTGAGATTTGTTACCTTTTTAAATTTATTTAAAAGCTTAAGAATTAGCCTATAGAAAAAAAGGATATTTAAATTTAGATATATTACTAATTTTTAAGTAAATTTTTTTGATATTGCATAAAAAGATCAGGAACAGGATGGATATATAAATAAATATATATTTAATTGCTAATTGTTCTGCAAAATTTCTAAAAGTTGTTTCCTTATAAAATGTATTTATTAGCTCAAAACATTGTAAATTTGCACTTAACATTTAAAGCCAATTTCAAGGCAAAGGCTTCATAAAAATCATATAAAAAATATATTTCCTTTGTTGACTGTTTCAAGGTGATGAGAGAATTGCCAATATTAGTTTTCAGACTTTCCAGTCATATCTCCAAAGAGGGTTTCCCAAAAACTTATATTCCCACTATTCCCACTAAGTAAAAACGATCCACACTTGAGCTGCAGTAACTAGACCTGTATGTTGCAACTAAAAAAAAACGAAATTATGGCACTAGGCTTAAGTCTTAATTGACGCCATCTCCTCCGGAGTTGAGTTGTGTGTGATTTACGGCATCGTAACCAAGCTAATTGCTGGGTTTGAAACTCTGGGAGCGCCCCTCGTTAACATTCAGCTGGCATGGAGTAGCGCGTGCTGCCGCCTCAGTTGCCCTTTCGACCATATATTTGCTTGACAAATTTGCACTTGGATGAGCCGGTCCACAGAGCAGCGGTTCGGAGATGGAGGAGAAAGGGAGGGAAGCGGCCAAACATGTTGGCCGAAACTTCCTTTTACTTTTCAGTGTTGGTTTCATGTGTCTCGGCTTTTTGGCCAATTCGGGTCTCGGGGTCTCTGGGCCCGTCGAACCTGCGTGACTGGACCAGTTCCAAGGAAGTTGGCACAGTTGTTACCTGTTTCCTTAGCCACCGTTTTTGCAGCAGCCGCCGCCACAGCTCAGCCTGGGTGTTGGCCTGGCTAAAAACAGAAAACACAAACAAAAACAAACCGGACTCTCGCACCGTTTGTTGAGCAAGCGGCAGCTCTGTTATTTTATTACTTAATTGCCAGCCAGGCAATTCCCATTCCTATTCCCAGTCACAGTCCCAGTCCCGGTCCCAGTCCCGGTCCCAGTCCGATATCGATCATCGTGTCTCTGGCCCCATGGATCATTGTTTCTCCGTTCCATAGATCACTATAACATTGTGCCATTGTGACGGGCAATTAGCACTTCGGGCCAAACCCCCTGCTAATTTGTTGGCCAAAAAACTGCCCGCTGGCTGACCACTATTTGGCATTGTTTTATGTCACTTAATGGCTTTCACTTTTTTTTTGTGCAACAAATTTGCAGTAATCTCTGAAGAAATCCCTCTTAAGCTGACAGCTAGATCAGCTGGGATGATTAAAGAAATCGAAATATAAAGATATCAAATAGAAGTGGATAAAAAAGTGAACTTGTGAATATTAAAAAAATATTTTCTGGCAATTTTTGGGTAAACTCTAATATGAATTTTGATCATTTTTAAAGGAAATCTATAAAATATTATAGCAAATTTAACTTAGTACTTAAAACTAAGTCATTTTCCACTAACATAACTTATGGAAAGAGTCTAGAAACATTTAAAAGTATTCACAAATATTTAAAATAAATTATAAAATGTTTTAAAAATATTTAAAGACATAATTAAAAAAACTTGATAATATAATAAATATATATATAATTTGATATAAATAATATATAAATTAATAGCTGTATAAAATGTGTCTTTTCTTTGCAAAATTAAGCTTTTACAGCCAAATTAATGCTCTTAAAAACCTCTTATCTTAAAAAATAAGTTATTATATTAATTTTCCCCACCAAACATCACAGAACTTCCAACTTCAAATGCAAATCAAAAATATTACTAAAAAAAAACTAATGCAATACTAACTGCTCAATTAAACCATGCCCCAAGATCGCCTAATAACTTGTATAAGTGCATCTTGCCTCAGCCCAAAAGGCAATTTAAAGTTGTGATATCATGCCCACATAATACTTTTATAATATAAATATATATATATTTTAAATGCCCGGCACCCACGCAACTAACAATATCATCTCAAAGCGAGAGCATCTGCTTTGAGGCTGAAAAAATTCCATTCGTAAACGTAGCAAAGAGCATTTGCTATTAACCAATTTTTGGCTGTGGCTAAAAGCAAGAAACTGGGTCAAAATTTGGCCCACAAAAGCCACATACAGATGCGTTAATGAAGTCGAAGATGAAGATATTTGTGTATATGATATATGTTATATATGTACATATATGCGCAGCCGCTGATGTTCATCTTGGCGTGTTGAGATGCCTTGCGCCATAAATCATTTAACGAGACGATGACAATGATGATTGAACGAGCTTCCAAGGAGCGGGAAAAGTCAAGCGGGAAAGTAAAAAAGAAAAGCTAAAAAAGAAGAGAATCTGAGCAGACAATTTTCCTTTTGGCTTTCTGGAAAACGCAGGCATGTCAACTGCAATGATATCTCCATTGTTGCCACGAGGCGATGCCTGTTTTAATATCTTTGTTGTTATATTTGTTGTTGATTTTATTGTTATATTTGTTGTTGTTTTTGTTGTTATTTTGGTTGTTGTTTTTGTTGTTGCTATTCTTGTTGTTATCTTTGTTGTATTTGTCGTCTTGTCTCGATGCGATTCGATTCGTTTGCTGGCTGGCTTCCTTTTGGAGCTCAGCACGTGGCAAGAAATGATATAATAATAAGAAATGGATGATCTACTCTAACCGAAGACTATTATACACTATATTTACAAGGCAATATATTATTATAACTAAGGATTACTGCTAAAAAATAAGGCTTAAGTTTAACTTTTATGAGGATTCTGATTTATTTTCTTAATTTTCTTTTTTTAAATAAATCTAAAGAATACATGAGGGCTTTTCCTTTCCTCTCTAATTTACTATAATTTTAAAATAATTAAATTAAAATTTTAATTATATTTTATAAACCCATTCTTAATCATGATTTATAAACAATCTCCGAGTGCTTCTCCTGAGCTATTTATTTTATATTTTTTACTATTTTTACACCCACAACCAGGGGAAGATTTTTGATTCCATGCCAAGTGCCAGACTTTCCGCTTATGTAACCAGTGGCTTTAGCGACTCCACTAACACCACCTGCTACACCACATCCCCTCTTGCTGTGCATATCACGCATACGCCGCATTGTGCGACAAGTAAAACGTCAATTGCAATTTGTTGTTGTTGTTGCAGCGACGACTAAAGATGTATATATTTTTCTGTTTTTTGTTGCTATTTTTGCTAGCAATTTGTTGGTAGCTGCATTTTTGTTAAGTGGCAAACGAGACGCGCTTGCCTTGTCTGTCAAGTCAGTCAGTGGAAGCGAAAGACAATTTATACAGCAGGGAGACCAAACTTCCAAGTGAAACTGAAACTGAAAACAAAATTAAAATGGCCATCAAGATATGCATGTTGCTGTCGATTAGCCAGTGTTTGAGAATAAATAGAGTGGCATTATCCAATAGTGCTGTGGTCCATTTGATTTATTCATTTACAAATTCCAGTGTCGCCCATTTTTCAACATTTAATTTAATTGTGTCGCGTATATTTTATAAGTCGCCAAGCCAAGTCGAGCCGAGCAAGGCCTTAAAAAAGCTAAGCCCCTGATATATGCGATTAGTATTAGAAATAAATTCACTTTAATCATGACACGCACTGTGGATGAGGTCGCATTTGCAATTAAATTGAAATTCCATGTTTTTTTATGGCAACTAAAATTGATTTGAAAAGGTTTTATAAACTTATTTATATATTAATTTTAAATACCTTGTCTTAAATATTTTTTAGAATTTGTAAAGTGTTAACTAGGGCTTCTTTTAGTTACATTTTAAATTATTATATCTTAGTATTGCTTAAATTATATTCTTACATTTTAAATTCTAAATAAATAAGCCAGTTTTTTAAATTTAAAAATGCCGAACATTCATAATCAAAAAAATATAAAATATATTTATAAATATTTTTGCATGTTTAATTTATGCACAAGTCATAGGTTTTCAAAGCTAGTTTTTGGCTCTAAATATCCAGATATATATACATACATATATATATATTCGTTAAAGCTTAACTATGACAGTAATTTGTGGCTTGAGCTTGAGAGTCGTCGCCTTAAGTTGGTTAAGGTCAAGGCAATTGATATGCCCGACGCTCTTAACAATCTGTTTTTCTTTCTTGGTTTTTTGTTTTGTATTTTGTTTTAAATTTTATTTCATTGTCTCTACGCGATCCGCTTCGATTCGATTCTATATAAGCAACGTCTTCCGCCTTGGCATACGCTGAAATTCCCAACATACTGCAGACTGCTTAAAATTCACGGCAATTGCTTTAATGACGTTTGCCACGAGGCAGCTTCTGGGCTTGAACTCATTTGAAATTCATTAAGATGTCCCATAAAAACTTAACTTTTGCCTTAAGTAGTTTCTTTGTCCCCCCTCAAACCACCCTTCCCTGGGCAATATCCAAACAATTGTCGCACTAAACTGACACTGAGAGACAGCTTAAAATATGATGAATACTTTGAGGGGAAAGGGACGACGACGACGATGGCACCGACAGCGAGCTGGCAACAGTTTGTTGGCCAAACTAGCAAAAGTTTATTTTATGCTTCTCCTCCTCATCATAATCATGGCAGCCATCATCATCTTTGCTGCTGACTTCCGCCCGCGTGTAAAAGTCAACTTCCGGCCCGACTTTTGAGTCAATTAAACACTGCAACATCGGGAGGAGCAGCAGGAGCAGCATCAGGGACATCAGCAACAGCAGGAACTGGGCGGGGCAACTCCCTGTGGGGTCCGGGGGGCAGCCATTCCATTTCGAATCCTTTGCATTTAAGTAGCCCAGAAAGGCATTCCGGAAGAAAGTTTGCCGGCTAGCAAACGTGGCAATTTTAATGAAGGAATACCCAGGGCTAAAGGTTTCATTTCGGGTGATTATGTTGAGGAAAAATCTTAAATATAAATAATTATAAAGGTATTTCATTTCGATTTACTGTGTAGCTAAAAATATATCTGTTTGAGACGTGTGGTTTCTTTTATTTTGTTAAAAAACCCAAACAAAAGGTGAACTCATACAATATGGGACAAAACAATGGATATAATAAGTAAAGTAAAGACAATAGTTGAATATAGACAATTGCCTCATTAACTGAAACTGAATTGTTAGGTAGATGATGTATGTACAATAACTACCCACTGTTGACAAGGCAGCTTCGATTGTTAAGGTCAGGAAATAGCTTTAACAACTTGGATATACTACTCCCAAAATTCCTATAGATGCTTGGACTCCCTACGGTATTACAACTTTGAGTCCTCTGTTCTTTTTGCCCCTTTTTTCTGAGCTAAGAAGCTAAGAAAACTTTTCCAATTGTTAAGTGTTGATGCTATATTATTAGATTGTGCTTGGGTGTCCCTTGCACCTGGCGGCACCTTGACAATTGTTGCCACCAAGTTGCCCTAGTTGTTGTTATTGTTGTCGCTGCCTAGTGACTCGTGCCGTTGATTGTCCAAAAGTTAGCTCTGCTAGAGTACACTAGTGGCCTCTCAGTCATCCAACCTCCCACAAAATGCAATTTTAATGCAATTTGAAAATTTATTGTGCAATATTTTCTTGGCTTAGACGGCTTATTGTTGTTGTTACAGCTTGTTTCAGCCGTCGTTGTTGTGCGTTTGTTGTAAATTGCGATTGCCCATTAGCGTTAACAACTTTTTGCCAAGTCATTTGGCTTTCTGGGCCTGTTCTTTCTGACTTTTGGCACCTTAAAGGAGCACCACCACCCACGGAATTAAGCCATTGAGCCGCTTACAAAAACACCCACCCAAGCTATAAGGAATATTACTTAATTTATAAGAAGCAAAAAATCTAGCCCCATATGGAAAATAGCCATCCTTAGGTAAATCGATAACTATTTGATATTTTTCGATACTTTCGATAACACAATTGAAAGTTTCTTATTCCTAATTAAAGTGGTTAAGGCACATTCATGTATGAAAAAAAAAAGAAAATAAATATATCGACAGGTATTGAAAATTTTTTTCCATATTTCTAATAAAACCTTTTATAATTTATCTCAGAAAAGCAGGAATAAATAATAAATAATTCGTTCAAAATAATATCTCTTACCATTCCCAGTTGCAAAACCAAAAAAAAACAAAAAAACAAAATAATGGAAAGTCAGCCGGCAGATAGAAGATCTACTTTTTTTTTGCAGCCTCGTAACCACAGAAAATCCAGCAGAAAATTACAATTTACACTTGAAACTTGATTACACAAATGACAGAGGCGCCCCCAAAGAGTTAGAGGGGTTAGAGGAGTTGGCAGGGTTGGCCAGAGGCGACTCATTGTCTAAAGTGAAAGTTTTTTGTCAATTTGCGGGCACTTTGGGGGCTTTTGTTTTCTTTTTTTGTTCGGCGGTGGCCACTACTTCATCTTCCCTGTTGTTTCACTGCCAGATTATGCAACAGATGTACGAAATTATATATACATATATTTAATTCGCACTTGAAACCAGTCATTCCCCCGCTCGAAAGTTAACTGGGCTTTAAATGGCTAAGGTCAAGAAGACAGACAGCATTTTTATAGCTGTCACATTCTGGGTTTCCGCAATAAACACTTAAGGGGGTTTTTTTTAATGAAAAAAAAACGAAATAATAATACAAAGTAATATTCTAATGATTCAAATTAAAGTGAGACGAATCAGGTTTATATATTTTTTTTATAGATATTTTTATATGGATATCAACAATTTGTTAGCTAGCTTTTATGGTTTACTGTTTGACAAATTGGCAGAAATTATGACCAGATTTTGTATGAAATTGTTTAAATTAAACATCATTAAAAATGGATGTCATGGAACCTTTAAAGTTACTTAAATAAAAAAAACATATTTCTTAACTTTACAGGAAATCGATGTCCTGACGTTGGGCGCCAAGGATCAGGAGCAATTGATAGCCGATCGCAACAAGCGAACAATTGGACTGCTGCGCGAACTGTTTCCCGACATCACCAAGGTATGGCTCCATCTAAATATATATTGTTATCTATATAGAACATGAACCATTAGCGTCCCCGAGCCCCTGTCTCTCTCTCTCTCTCTCTCTTCCACTTCCTCTGTCTACGCCAGCCGCCCCTGTAATACCAGTTCTAGACCAGGGTTAGGTCCCCAGAAATACATATATACCCCTGACTTCGACCACATATATATACATATATATGACAGTGTTATTGAACATGGCGCCGCCACGCGAAATGTTTTCCTCCTCCTTCATCAGGAGATCAATGTGCAGATCAATCGGATAGTGAATAATGTGTTGCAACGCGTCGGGCCCGTGGTTCTGGGCACTGTCCTCAACCCGGCCTTCGATCGGGGCCTCCATCCCCGCCAGCCAGCCAGCGATGTTGATGATGGTGACGAAAAGGAGGGCTCCAAGGACTACGATAGCCCTGACGAGGACCTGACCCACTTCCAGCCCGACAGCGAGTTCAAGGAGCGCTGATATTGCAGAGGCTTCTCTCCTCGCTCCAATTAGCTTAAGGCTTCTTCCCTCAAAAATATTGGCCAAAATCGGTTTATTGTGGTCCCCCTTCCCCCCGACCCCCTCCGAAATGTTGCATGTTTTTCTCGTAGTCTTAGCCAGTGCACCTCTCAAACCAACACCAACTTTAGCATGCCAGCACCACCCAGGTGGCAGAGAACCACCATCAACACCAATACTCCACCATCAGCACACGAACATAGATACACACAGCCACAGAGTTTCAGCAAAATTTGGCAAAGAAATCATCGACAAAAAGAGTTCCAGCAGAAAGCACAAGAAAATATCATATCAAGAACAGTCAGTCACCAACACCTGGATGTAATGTTATATATATTATAAATATATCATGACAACATTGGCCGAATTCATCATCAAAAAAGAAAACAAAAAAACACCGAATATTACATTGAGTTTTCAGCCCCAACAATTGGCCAAGAACAGTCAGTCAATCAGGCAATCAACAACAGCATCAGCATCTCATATGGAAAGCGCACCAAAAGTATCAAAATCAAAAATCCAAAATCACCAGAACCAAAGAACCCATTTAAAGCCAAACCATATTTTCTGTTGACCTCTCGCTGATCTCTTGCATAGGAAATCGACTCGATAGTCAATCGCATTATAGCCCAGGTGATCCGTGTGGCCGGTCCGGGTGTGCTGAATAGTATTTTGGCGGGGAATCGCGGTGGTGCGGCGGGTGCAGGTGGTCGCAGCACCACACCGGCCTCCGACTTTGATGCCGACTTCGATGCGGACTTTGATGAGGAGGATGATGTGCCGGCTTCCTCATCCAGCAGTCCGCCGGCAACCGGAGTCGTTCGCAGTCCAGCCAGCGAGGCCAGCAACGAGGTGGAAGGAAGTTCGCGTGTGAAGATCGATCTGCCCACATTTGCGCCGGAATCAGCAGCAGCAGCAGCAGCAGCAGCGAAAGGTGATGAAAGCCCACTGATAACTACCACCACCTCCACCACTCAGTCAGCAATCCAATCATCAATCCCAACAAGTACCAGTCCCAGTCCCAGTAATCCAACGACATCCATTGGTGATCTAACGGATCTAGTGGATCCGCTGGTGCAGTTGTTGCCACGCTCTCTGGAGCCAGAATCTAGTACTACAACTACAACTACGACAACTAGTACAACAACAACGCCTGCAACAAGCACTACTACATCTACTAGCACCACTACCACCACCGAACCACCCCCAACAGAACCACCCACCACTACAACCACAACCACCTCGACTACCATCCAGTTTCCCACCAACAACAGCATCGAAGAACCACAATTGCTAACCATCATAGCTGATATAAATCGTTTATTAAATTCTACCAATTATTTTATTACAACCAGAGACAATATAACAACAACAACAACAACAGTGGCCACTACAATTGACAACAACAACATTACGAAATTATTGCCCGTCTTTGATTGAGAAACAGAAAAGAAATACAAGCAACAAAATACACTTACAAATAAAAAAAAAAACAGAGAAAAGGCTCAAGGATTTGAAAGCAACATCACAACAACAACAACCAGAACAACAATAACAAGAATAACCACACAAGGATCAAGCTGAAGAAGAAGATGATAGCCTCCATCAGCATCAATTCACATTTAGAACAAGAAAAAAGCATTTTCTATTAGTTAAGAGTTATATTCGCTCAACATTTAACTCACCAACAACAAGTGGTTCAAAAATGGTTTAAGGAAACTCCCATTTTTACAGAAAACTTACTCAACTCGAATTGTTTCCGAAATGTATAGAAAGGCATACATTATATGGTTTAAACATTGATATTTAGTTTTTTAAACGAAAAAACCTACTAAAGCATCGTTGTTGAACCATTGTTGAACCGCTCCTCCGCACATGTATAAATATCATCACTGAACATCATCCTCAAATACGCCCCCGTAAGGCCCGACCCCATAGTTCCTTCCCCGACTAGAGTTCTCTCCCCTACCCTCGACCCCATCGTACTTGTATGTAACCGAACCGAAACACTCTGATGCTAACTAATCTCCCTCCTCATCCCAAAAATCGCACGCACCAAACACCCGCCGGGTCCCGAAAATGTATCAAAATTCGAACCTCGATTCGTGGTTGTTGTAGCAAATCGATGAGCAGGCAAATCGCATCATCTCAAAGCTGCTGAGGACCCTGGGACCCACTGTACTGCGTACCGCCATTCAGGGCAACAGTGCGAATGCGGCCAGGACCAGTTTCGATGCCGACTTCGATGACGACGATGACGAGAGCTCGAAGAGCAGCAGCTCCTCCTCTGGCAGCACCACTACCACCACCTCCGGGGACAGTGGCACCCGGGTGACCATCGAGCTGCCCACCTTTGAGCCTGATGATGAGAACGAGATCGATGCGGCGGACAAGGGCACCAGCAGCAGTTCAAGCACCACCTCCACCACCGAGTCCGCCTAGGACAGTCGGTGCATCGGCCACAAAAGTGCGTTTCATTTGCTACAACAACTAAGAGATATTGGCAGTAACACAGAGATTAACATAGCCGCAATTGATCATCGATTATACATTTTTTTCATATCAGGATCAGTTGATGTTTTGTCAAATTTTGCGATGTCATTTGAGATCGTTGAAGATGTGACTGAGCTCAACTGGAAATGAGAAATAATGAGTTAATATATGACACTTTGGCAGCTACTATCTCTGTAAAGAAATTATGTTGAATTGGCATTTAAATCAATTAGTTTCTCTTTCCCTCAAAATTTCTCCGCGCAGCACAACAAGAACAGCAACAACAACCACCCAACTGCACTCTACAGAAATTGAAATTGAAAAAAAAAAACAAAATCAAAATTAAAGGAATACGAATTGAAATGAAAGTGAAGTTCTCATTGAATTGGCATTGTAAACCAACACTTGATTGATTTGAAATTACCTTTAGCACACTGGTTTTCAGCACACATACACAAGATCACCATCTGTCTGTCTCTTTCTCTTATCTCCTTCTCCTGTTGTTTACCCACTCTCTCTCTCTACTCGCTCTTCTTTTCTTTCACCTTTCTTCTCTCTCTCTTCTTGCCTCTTAGCCATTTCAAAACTGCCTTTTCTCAGAACTTTTCTTGTAAATCTATCCATTTCCATTTCCCCGTGTATATCTATCCTGCTCTCCCTCATGCGCACCCTCATACCCACATAGGCTAGTAGGTGTTTTTTACAAAATAAATATATATTTTACATTTATATTGTATTAGTTGTGTAAGACATTTTTTAATACATTTCCAAATATACCGAAATAATGTTTACTCCCCTATGACTTTTTGCTCAAGCCCGTTCAAGTGGGGATGTATTCGTCAGAGTTCTTGGGATTTCAAAACACTCTTTCTCAGCCCAGAAGTAGGCAGATAATGGTGTTATTCTGTATATATCATTATAAATACTTCCTTGCCTACTTCTGGACATGAGTTTTGAAATCTTGGGAGACTTGCCAAATGCTATAGTCCCAAATATTCGCAAAAAACACTCTTGGTGCCCAGACAGCGAATCACAAGAAAATCATTAAGCTCATTCGTTCCAAGCGAGTCGCTCACTCGCCACGGCTGTACACTCACCACACTCATGAGTGCATTCACATCGCCAACTATCTCTGCTCTCTCCTTCATCCCAAGAAAAATATTCGATACTCAGTGTACTCATTTCCGCACTCATTTTCGCCGACTTCGTTCTTCCGCCCGCCGCAGAAAAAAGAAGCAAAAACAAAAGAGTTGACAAGGATTTCTGATATCCCTTCCGTTGGCCGAGAAAGAGATTCCTTTTATTGCCAGTCCAGTCCCCAGTAAAAGATCAAAGGCTTTTCCGATTGTAAATACGATATCGATCGATATTCAATTACCATGATATATCCGATATACCGACATGGGAAAGAGCCTTTGCCTTGTATATTGATAATTTGGTAGGCTTAGTGCTCCTCTGTTTTTCTCTCTCTTTCTCTCTCTCTCTCTCTCTCTCTATTTCTGTATTCTCTGCTATCGCGCTACTTTTGTTTTTCTCTTTTGCTTATTTTTGTATCTTTTTCTCTTTATTTCCATGTTCCATTAAAACCCGATTCGATTTGTGCAATGCAAATAACTCACCACCAAAACAATCAAATCAAATCAATCAAAAACCGAACAACGCTCCACCGATAACTGATAACTGATAACCGATAACTGATAACTGATCACCGATAACTGACCGCAAATGTATACACAAATACATTCTGTGCACGTGCATTTTGTGACTGTCCATTAATCAATCAATCAATCGAAATCGAAATCAAAACCAAATCGATCGACAAAACAATCGACCCAAATCGCCTGTGCAAAATCTCGATAACTCCACCAACACTAACCGTAACTCCTTCTCCACCTAACCTCACATTCACCCTAACCTCACAACGATGACATAACCTCACCTTTTGAACTCACTCACACACTTGAACACTGGAAAAAAAAAACGATATACGAAAACGCAAACTACGAACACACACACACACACACACACACACACAATACACACTATTACACGTCGCCGAATCCTGCGCTTGCCTTTTCCCCTTCCACTCACTCCTCGACCTTGGCTTTTTACCTCCCCCAAAAAAAAAAAACACTTGATCCCTACCCAACTATTCCCCCCTTCCCCTCCCTGATTAACACATAATCAACACCCGAAATTCGAAATTTCCACAATAAAAAAAAATAATGCAACAAATGCCCAACAAAACAAAACAACAAAAATTCCAAACCAATGACAAAATCCCACAAAAACCCCACCAAACGCAAAAAAAAAATGTGAAATATAAACAGAATGGAGCCAGCGATACCCAGATCGATTTGTCTGCCATCAACAAGCAGTTGGAGGAGACGATCCGAGTGGCTAGGCAAGTGAAGGAGGCGGAGGCAGCCGCCGCCGCTGTGGCCGCCCAAACGCAGTCATCCTCCTCCTCCTCGCCCATTGCCCAGGCGCCAATTCCCCTAAAGTCCAACGAGCCCATTCAGCTGAGTTTCAACAACGAGCTACCGAGCGTCTCGACCTCCGCCGGAGTGCCAGCCAGTGAGGTAAAGACCCTGAGCACAAACGACCTGCAGCTGTCGGAGTCCAAGTCACCGGCCATCGATGAGCTGACCCTTGACTCTGCGGAGGAGACCGCTGAGCTGGATGACCGCAACAAGAGGTAAGTGGATTGCACCTAGTCCTTAGATTTAAACGATTTCTCAGAGATCGCCGACAATAACCAAAAAACTTAGTTATTAGACAGCCCCAACTCAACTAATCATACACTTTCCTTCCCTTTTCATCCCTACAACAATCCAACAACTCAACAATAATTTAACAACAAAATTCTTAACAATAAAAATCGGAAACAAAATAAATCACCAACTAATATCAATAAAACCTAAAACAAATAAACGAAAAATATAAAAATTCAACAACGAATCAAACTACAAAACTCAACAACGAATCAAACTACAAAACTCAACAACAAATCCAACCACAAAACTCAACAACAATCCAACCACAAAACTCAACAACAAACACTTGACTTCCTTGGAATGGCCAACCACCAATAGTAATCTGTTCAAAAGGTTCCTCAACTTTGGCGGAGCGGGTCTGGCCGGTGGCTCCAGCGGCGGCGGTGCAGGCGGCTCGCCCAGCGGCAATGCCCTCGGAGCAGGCGGCTCTGGCAACTTCCTGCTGGACGTGGTTAGGGTGAGTACCCAGTCACTGATGTGATTTTCCACCTGGTGACTTACTTGACTCTCCATTCTCCAGCTCTTCTCGGGCAGCGTGCAAACCCAGCAGGGCGATGAGGCGGCCAACTCGGTGGGCGGTGGAGCCAGCAGCTCCAGTGGCAGCCTGGGCGGCGATGGAGATGCGGAGACGGACAGCACTCGCACGGCTGACGGCTACACCGAGGGCATTCCCGGCCCAGTGACACGCCTGGTGGTGTTGGCCAACCGCGGCCTGGCCAATCTGGTCCAGGACTTGATACTGGTAAGGAGGATAACCATAATAACTAACCAAAATTTGAGGCTAATGATGGGTTTTGTTACTTTTAATCCTTGCAGCGCGTTGCGGCCACCAGCGAGAAGTTTGTGAACTTCAAGGCCAAGCTGATAACGGCGCTGATCTAAGGTCAGGAGTCGGCACGGCCACGTCCTCGCCCGAATTAGTCAAGTCACTCAACTGTACAGAGTCAAATTCAGCAGATCCCCTCCTCTCTCTATCTATCTCGCCTCTGTCTCTCTGTCTCTGTTCCTCCCCCACACACACACACACACTACCACCCACTGCCCACTCACCCACACGGAGACAATTGTGTTGTGCATCATTCGATCAAAAAAATTTTTCCTGGCAATGTCAACATTTTTTTTCTCAAATTTTTAGCAAATTTTTTTAACACAAAAGTGTAATTAGTTTTAGAAAAAAACAACATAAAATTGTAAGCAAAATTTACAAAAAAAAAAAAAAAATCGCTGAGAATCAGTCAAAGAATTTTATTTATATATCAATAAATATCGAAAATCATCACAAAAACAAAAAAATAACAAGAACAAACGTATGGAAACAACAACATAATTTTGTATAAAATATGGAAACCCCCCTCTACCCCCTCTCTCTATCGCCTATATCTTGGCTTTTGTAAATATTTTGCTATTTGCAAATTTTCCTCACCACTTTTTCACTGATCTTTTTCCATACCTCTACTCCCTTTTTTGTGTATATTTTGTGTTCTATTAAAAAAAAATCATGACTGTGGTGTTTTATTTACTATTATTTTTAATTATTTTAAACGAAAAACGATACGAAGAAGATGAGAAAGAAATGCGAAGATGATGAAGAACACACGCCAAGTTTCTATTTAGAAGAAATGTAAACGAGCTTAATATTTTTTTTATTATTATTACATTGCTATTGTTGGTCACAGAGAGCCCCATAAAAAACACACACACGCCCACACATTTGACACTGAAGTATACTCAATACACTACCAATTATATATACATACAATATATATAGAGATCCATTCTTGTTCGACCTTTCTGTGCCCCCCGTCTGGATTTGTTTGTAACTCCCTCCTCACTCCCCCTACACCTAAGCGTATTGTGTTTTTCTCACTATGATGATTTTTTTCTAGCCTAGCTAAGTGAAACTTTCGACAAAATGTGTAAAATAAAAGCAAAATCATTTTTAATTTTAATGTGGCATTTTATATTTGGATTTTGTTGGTGGTAAAAGTAATTTGAAGTTGCAAAGAGATGCACTGATTAAAAATTCTAACTAAAATCGCCCGAAAAATGCCTTTTTTCACCTTAAAAAAGAACCCTAGATTTAAGAAAAATTATCCATAAAATCAGGAAAAATACTTTCTTAAATCTTTTAAGACTTTTTCTTAATTTAGAAGGCAATTTGTCCCAAAAATGAGAAAAACTTTGGTAAAACTAAAGGTAAGCTACCTATTTGATCATTAAACAGAGACACATTTTTCTAAATAAAGGGAACATTAAATTAAATTAAAATTGAGTTACTTTCAGGGTAAGTACATGTACTTGTAACATGTATCCACATGTTCCCCCTTTTACTTCATTCCTGGGATGTTAAAAGCAGTTGGGAATTACATGTCCTCACGGGTGAGATTTTTCATCGTGATATGACGTGATTTAAGGTGAATTCATCATGGTTTTTATGAAAAATGTAACAGCAACAAGTGCAATTCGCTATTAAATTCAGAAAGGAACTAAATCAAGCGAATAAGATATAAAACGCCATAAATTATGGGAAAATAGGAAAATTAATCCCTAAAAAATTATGATTTTATGGTGCCTTCTGGCATCCCTTATTTAAATCTCCCTTAAAAATAAAGTAATTTAATATTATGTTCAAGCATTTCCCAAATTTTATAATTAACTCTTCACATTTTCTTTACTTTTTTAAATGCGAATCTCTTTATCAAAATCATTTTGCTTAATATTTTGTATGAATTTCGAATCGAACAATTAAATTGCTCTAATTAATGGCGAAACATTCACGCCACATAATTAATGTTTAATAATTAAATAACTGCACGCATATTCCCCAGTGATTGCAAAATATTCGCAAGCTATTTGGATTCGAAATATTTCTCTGGGCAATTAAAACCTATTTGCAAATAGTTGTAAAAACTTCCAGGCGAGTGTATTGCTGCTCCCCCTCCTTCTGGCACGCTTTAAAAATATCTGGATTATCCATCTCGGCGAGCATTCCGCACAGAAAATGCGTTGCACGGCCGGGCAAGTGAATTAATGACTGACTAACTGACTGACTGACTGACTGACTGACTGACTGAGGGAATGCACGAGTGAACGCATGCGCGGCATGTGTGCGGTCCAGAAGGGCGAGCTGGGTTGGGGGAGGGGGTAAGGTCAGGGGCGAGGACTAAGTGCCACTTCCGTTTTCCACAACAAACAAACATACAAATTGGACCAACAAATCACCAAATGGACCAGCGAAGTCAAGCACTTATCCTTGGATTTTTCAGGCACAATTAATATCGCACAAGTGCCCGTCCCTGTCCGCCGGAGAATGGAGAATTCACCAGCCGAAGCAGCGGCAAGAATGTAGAATCCCAGCAACCAGAAACCACAACCCAGACCAGCGCTCTTTGTTTTGACAAGTGCGCACAGGCAGTTTCCCATCTTCACGCACAATTTGTCGTCACTTGGCGATGACTTAATTCATTTAGCAGAGTGCCGGGCAGCAGAACTGGACCGGCAGAGAGAGATCTCTCGTTTGCTCATTCGATCGTCGATCGTTGCGGCCAACGGATGGCAGCCTCCTCCAACTATATCCTGGCAACCTATGCCCACGACAGCAACAGCAGCGGCGGCGGCAGTGCCAGCGGCGGTAGTGGAGGAGCGGCAGCCGACTCCGAGGACTCGCAGGTGGGCGGTCAGACTGCTCAAGGTAGTTCCTCGGGCAAGAGGAGGCGACCGCCGAGGCAGAAAATCAATGCCAGGGAACGTTACAGGACCTTCAAGTGAGTGCAAGGAAACGAAGAAGCTTTCCTTATTTATTTATAACATTTAGGATTGATTTAATTTGTTTTAATTAAAATTAACCTTCTTTACCCTTTATTTCCCAGTGTAAATGCCGCCTATGAAGCTCTACGCAACTTGATTCCCACGGAACCCATAAACCGCAAGCTATCCAAAATTGAGATTATACGCCTGGCTGGCAGCTATATCACCCACCTCAACAGCACCCTGCAAACAGGTTAGTTTATTAACAAAATAGTTAGCAAAACAGTGAAATATTAACAAATATATTGTATATTTTCCATTAAAACTTTAAAGGAACCGATGGCCAGCCTTGTTTGCTGCACAAATACGAAAGTGAAGGTCCTGCCAGGCGCATTAGCATCTGTACCTTTTGCCTGAAAACCAAGTGAAATTTCTCTCTATATTCTAAGATTTTTTTTCTTATAATTTAATTAGATTTATGTCGTATTTATTGCATTTTTAGAAAGTATTTTTTGAATCAAGCGCCCACCGACAGCGCCATCTTCAGTTGAAGTTGTAAACTGCCATTGTAAAGCAGTTCACTGCACTGCTTGCTGAAATAAAATTAAGCTGTCTTAGAGATGACAGAAAATATAAATAAATAATAATATTTTAGGATTATACATTTCATTTAATTTATTTTTATTTTTATTTTTTCAAGTTTCCTATTTTTCCACAGTAATGATATATTAAATCGTACTTAATTGATCATACACATCCTTAAGCTGCATACTTGCAATGTATTGTTTTAAAAGCATGCAGGTGTATAGTTTAATAAATTATGACTTGATTAATATAATAAAAAATAAAAAAATAATTAAATAATGTTTTAATTGCATTCAATATTAAAACTTTAAGTTTGTTCCATCACTAAGCATCTAAAACACTCGCACTGCTTGCTAGGCAGCTGGCATTCTTGCCTTTGCCCAAACTGGTTCCACTATTTGCGCCAAAAATCAATTGGCGCAACAGATAAAAACAGAAATTCAACTAGTTTCTTGAAATTTAACCAATAACCCACGCTTCGATGGCCACCAAGCGTGTGCTGACGCCCAGCAAAGCGGAAAATGGATCCCCCGACACACTAGGAGCTGGCAACTCCCCACAGAGCAAGAAATTCAAGCAGAAGTTGGAGTTGCCGGCGGACGACGACCTGGAGAACATCGATTGGGGCGACGATGCTGACTTTGATTTGGCGCTGGGCGCCATGGAGTCGGCGGCGTGCCACAGACTCGATCTCAGCCAGTGGCAGCGCTGCCAGGTGGAGCTGGTGGAACCGCTGGCCAAGAGCCAGGAGCTCCGGTTGCAGGTGAAGCGCCTTTCCGGCGGGGATCCCGACACGGCCGTGTGCCTGCTGCAGGCGCCCTGGAATCACATGCGCGTGCAGGTGGGCGACACCGTCTCCCTGCTGGCCAAGTGGCAGCCATCCCTGGGCAGCTATGTGGTGGACAAGGAGCAGGGCTACTGTGTCTCCCATCCGGATCTCCTCATCTCCGGCACCACAGTTACCGGCTCCCTGTTCTGCCGGCGCAAGGCGGTGCTGCAGGAACGTTTCCGTGGCCTGGACTCGGGCAGCTCCATCGTAGGTGCCTCCCAAACGTAATCCCAACAGATGCTCAATCCGATTTCCACTCCCTTTCAGATGGTAATCGGTACCCTGGTGCACGAACTGCTGCAAAAGGTGCTCCTGCAGCAGCTCTCCAGCCGGGAGCAGATCCAGTCTGCCCTAGCGGAGATGCTGTCCAGCTCCTCCCTGGCCCAACTGCTGTACGCAAGCAGTCTAAGCCAGGCGGAGATGGAGATGCAGTTGCTCAAGTTCGTGGATCCCATTGTCAGCTTTGTGGCGCAGTATGTGAAGGGTAAGGAACCGGCTGTCCTGCCGCCAGAACTCTATCGCGGTCGCATCGAGGAGATCCGCGACATTGAGGAGAACCTGTGGGTGCCTCAGCTGGGGCTCAAGGGTAAGGTGGATGTGACGGTGCGGGTGCGAAATCCCCACCGCAAGGAGGAGGTTATTCCGCTGGAGCTAAAGACGGGCCGGGCCAGCTTCTCCATGGAGCACAAGGGCCAGCTGCTGCTCTACCAGCTGATGCACTCTGCCCAGGGCCGGGACACCAGGTCGGGCCTGCTGCTGTACCTCCGGGAGGGCATACTGCGCGAGGTGCCTAGTGGCCGGAACGAGCAGAGGGACCTGGTGCTTCTGCGCAACGATCTGGCCCACTGGCTGACCAGGGAAGTGGCCATTCCACCGGGGAAGAAGGATCCCCTGGAGCAGCTGCAGCTGCCGGAGCCCATTTACCATCACAGTGCCTGCGGCAATTGTGCGTACAACACCATCTGTGCGAGCTTTGCTCGGCGGGATCCCGAACTCGAACTCGGGGAATCGCATCCCCTGAAGAAGCTCATGCCGCAGCTGCTGGAACATCTCAAGGAGCCGGATCAGGCCTATGTGCAGCACTGGTGCGGCCTGCTGGCGCTGGAGGAGCAGCACAATCGACAGTCCTCGCAGCTGAGAGCCCTGTGGACCGAGGATCCCCTGAAGCGTCAGAAGCAGGGCCGAGCCATTGGCCAACTGCAGCTGGTCAGGGGTCAAAAGGTCACCCCGGAAGAGGGACGCTATCGCCAGAGCCTGGAGCTCTCTGCAGATGCGGACGCGGGCCTCGATCTGAGCCTCTGTGGGGTGAGGACTCCTACCTTAATCTCCAAGAACTAAATTAAATCCTATCCCTTTTCCAGTTCGATTTGGGCGAGTACGTGGTGGTCAGTTCAGGCTCCCGCCTGGCCATCGCCTCGGGTTATATCGTCTCCCTGGCGAGTCGACGCTTGGAACTCCTGCTGGAGCGTGATCTCAGCCACCTGTATGCCCAGGAATCCTTTGTGGTGGACAAACACGAGTCCCAGAACTTTGCCACCTTCAATTACACGAATCTGGGACTGCTGCTCTCCGAGGGCGAACGCTACCAGGAGCTGAGGGACATCATAGTGGCCCGCAAGCCCCCCGAACAGCACAAGGTTCTGCCCCGGATCATCCTGACCAAGGGAGCCCCCATGCTGATGCAGCTGAACACCGTCCAAAAGGCGGCCGCCCTGCGGGCCCTCACCACCAGCAGCCATCTGCTCATCAAGGGATTGCCCGGCACTGGCAAGACCCAGACCCTGGTGTCCCTCGTAAGACTGCTCCATCTGCTGGGCAAGAGCGTGCTGATCACGGCGCAAACCCACTCGGCCGTGGACAACCTGCTCCTACGTCTCCTGCCCTTCGAGTTGCCCATGCTGAGGCTGGGCTCTAGCTCCAGGATCCATCCCCAACTGGAGGACATCAGCGAGGCGGCACTCACCAAGGACTGTTCCACCGCGGAGGACCTACAGAAGTCTCTAGAAAAACCCTCCATTGTGGGTGTGACCTGTCTGGGAGCCGGGCATCCGCTCTTTCAGCACCGCCACTTCGACTACTGCATCGTAGACGAGGCCACGCAGGTGATGCAGCCCACTGTCCTGCGTCCCTTGGTCCATTGCAGCCGGTTCGTTCTCGTGGGAGATCCCGAGCAGCTGCCGCCGGTCATCAGGTCCAAGGAGGCACGTCAACGCGGGGCCGACGAGACCCTGTTCCAGAGATTGGACTCGAAGGAGGCCACCGCTGTGCTGAGCCTGCAGTACCGGATGAACAGGACCATCACCCGGCTGGCCAACGAGCTCACCTACGCGGGAGCCCTGCAGTGTGCCTCCGAGGAGGTGTCCGGGGCCAGTTTCCAGGTGAAGACACTGACCCAAGCACCGCGCTGGGTGCAACGGGCTCTGCAAAGCCATTTGGAGCAGGCGGTGACCCTGATAAACACGGGAGATTGCTTCGAGCGCTGCCAGGACTTGGCTCGGGCATCCCAACGTCTGGGGGAGACCGCCTCCTCCATAGAACAGAGCTACGGGGAGCCAGGGGAGGAGAATTCTCAGAGGAGCACAGCCAAAAAGAGGATATCCAAGTACACAAACTACTGCGAGGCAGGCATTGTGATGCACTTGCTCCGGCACTTGCTAAGGTCCGGCTTCGAGGCATCCAGGATTGGCGTGATAGCTCCCTACCGGGCACAGGTGGAGCTCCTCAAGAAACTGGCCCACCAACTGGACCCCCACATCGAGTGCAACACTGTGGATCAGTTCCAGGGTCGGGACAAGAACCTCATCGTCTACAGCTGCTCCAAGACGGGCAGGGACTCTTGCTCGGATATGGAACGGTGTCGGGAGGCAGAGATCCTGGAGGATCAGCGTCGCCTCACTGTGGCCATCACCCGGGCCAAGAACAAGCTCATTCTCCTGGGCGATATTCAGTGCCTAGAGCAATACGGTCCCTTCCGTCGGTTGTTTGAGCACATACCGGACAGGTGTCGCCTGAAGTTGGACGAGGGTCGCATGGAGTTTGCCTGGCAGAGTATCCAAGAGGATCTGGCCAGCCTGATGGAGTTGGAATCGGAGTCAGAGTCCTAGCTATTTGGATTTTATATTATGTTTTTTATAACTTATAGTTGAATTATTCAAAGATTTATAACATAAACATTCAGGGATGTCACAGATATCGTTGTGGATTTTAAATCACTCGAAAATCTGTGAAAAATATGTAAAATATACAACTACAACTAGCTAAATCACACTTTTTGTAATAAATTTAAAAATTTATTTTGTTTTTTGTATTATTTTGGATTTAATTTTTTGATTATTATTATTATGATTAATATTTTTATTTTTTTTTTTTTATGAAATTGTTTATTTTAAATTATTATTATTTTTTTGTTTGCCTTAAAAAAAAAAAATACTTTCATATATTTAAAAGCAAAGTTAGCCTTAACTCGGAATTGCATCTCCATAATTCACATTTTGTTAAGCCTAAAAAATCAATTATTGTTAACATTCACTTAAATTTTTTTTTTTTTTTTTTTTATGAGAGCTGGGTTTATGCATTTAACAAGCAAATTATACTTCAGAGTTGTTACTCAGGATTACCTTGTTAAAATTTTTATATTAGTCACCTAAATTTTAGGAAATTAAAAATAACGATATATTCTGATAATTAAGACAATAACCAGTTATATAGCTACAGTCCACTGTGAGATACCCTACACTAGGGATATATAAATATATCGCAAAATATCGATTTATCGAACAAATATTGCCACGTTTACATATCGATTTATACAACAAATTTTGTAACAATAAAAACAACTAAAAAGAACTATCAAAACTAATAATATAATATATATAATATTAAGAAATACAAATAATAAATAAATACATATAAAAAATAAATCGAAATATATACATATTTATTATACCCTTGCAGGGTATTATAATTTCAGTCAGAAGTTTGCAACGCAGTGAAGGAGACCTTTCCGACCCTATAAAGTATATATATTCTTGATCAGCATCAACAGGGGAATCTTTCTAGATATGTCCGGAAGAAATCGATTTTTTGGCCATTTTTGCGAAATTTGATAAGGGTTACATCATTAAAATTAGCAAAAATGGCCAAAAATTTTGATTTCTTAAAATTTAAAATTTGGTATGCAGTTTTTTTAAATTAATAAAAACTAACACAAAACTGCTTTCCGAATCGAAATTAATGCATTTTTGGCTTAGCTATGATATATTTTAATATTTACCTGCAAGGGTATACAAACTTTGGCTGGCCAAAGTTAGCTTTATTTCTTGTTTTTTTTAATTTTTTAGCCCTTTGAGACTTTAACAGTTACTACTTATAATCTAAATAAGTGGAAAATAATTAAGTTACTGCATTAAATCTTACTTCCCCACCAAAATGAAATTGCATTAACAGGGCTTTGGCCCCTGCAGGATTTTCTGTAATCTTGTTTGCCACAAAATACGGAAAAATAAACTATTTTCTCCCTTTTGGATTATATAGTAATTTGACCCTCCCGACCCCACCACCACCACCGCCACAAGTACTAGCACTGGCACATTTCCCCCGTTAACGTGTTCTCGCTTCCTTCTGGGCTGCACCTTCTTATCTCAATCCCTGCCACCTCCGGTGCTCCGGTCCTCCTGGCTCCGCTTAGCTGCGGAAGTTGGGCACCTCGAGGTCTGGAGCTGCTCCCTCTGCGTGCCCTGAATATAACATATGCCATGTGCAGGGGTCCCCCGGGGGGATACCTGCAGCGGATGCATTTTACAGCCAGGAGCGAACGTGAGTCATCCTGCAGATGATTATCGGTGTCATTATCGTAGTCACCCGAGCGGGTGTGTGTGTGTGTAAGCGTGTGTGTGTTTGCCTTGGCAAATGGCAGTTACCAAATGCGAGATTGATAGCCCTCAAAGGCGAGAGAGGAAAGAGCAGAAACAGAAATACTACAAATAAAAATTTAAATTAAATTCTAGAAAATGGGACAAATTAGGACAATTAGCTTCTAATTTGGAAGTGGATGCCATTTGTTTGTTGGCCTTTTCAATATCGGCCACAAGCTCAAAGAGAGTCTCGAAAAACACGCGGCTCTCATAAAAACGCTGGAAAAACGGGGGAAAAAGTGCGGAAGAGAGAGGTTTCCTTAATTTGCTTTTACATTTTATTTCAAGCGCTAGGATCAGAAACACAAAGCCTAACAACAAAAACCCAAGGCGATAGTACCGATCCCTCAAAAGGGATAGTTTTCCCGACGAGACGACTTTTTCCCGTTTTTCCGTTTTTACAAAAAAATTAATACAAATCTTAATTATTATAATAATTAATTTATACAATTTTCTGATCGTTTTGACTCCTTTACTGCGTTGCAAACTTCTGATTAAATTTATAATACCCTGCAATGGTATAAAAATGCAAAAAACTAACCAAGTAACCCCTCAGGTAGGGAGTGGAGCTCTGAAGAAAGGCAGGTGTGTGGGGCAAAAGAAAAGAAACCCAACAGTAACAGTAACGGGGAAACAACAACAACAATAATGGTCATAAGCAAATCGCTTGATAAAATATTTGAAATTCATTTCGCGCCGCCGCTTGGCAGCCGTTGGCATTTCGATGACAGCATTTAATGCCTATTATGTAAACTCTTTACCATCTGTGGTCCCAACAAAGGTCAGCCACGAAATTATTGAGCCCTGCTCCAGTCCCTGCCCCTATCCCTGCCCCTGTCCCTGCCCCTGTCCCTGGCTCTGAATTGATTTTGAGTTCCGGCCAAACCCAAAATGTGGTTTTTGAAATACCCAGACATCACCCCTTCTCTTCCCAGTGTCCACCACAGTGTTTGTGTGTGTGTGCGCAACAAATTAAGCCCATTAACCATCGTGGTCTGTAAAACAACAATAAACGCCAACAACATCACCTGTTGCAATATCGAACGCTGTCAAAGATGATCCGCCAGAGAGCTTGAGGCATTATCTTAAGACCTTAACTTTCGAAATTGATTTCTTCTGCAAAACTGTACAGATTTCATTACTTCACGAGGGGATATTTTTAAGCGGAAACTAAAGTATGGGAAATGGATCTCTAAATTATTTATTTATTTATTATTATTTTTTAATTAAAATTTGAAATTAGTTCTTTATTATATTCTTAACCTAAATTGATTGGTAGGGAAATTTGCTAATGAGATTTAGTGGTAGAAGCACCTGCTGTCATCTGGCTTGTTAGTAAATTATATCATATATATATCATATGTATTTGATTATTGTATGTAATTTACACAAAGCCTTTCATTAAGTTCAAGGAAAAGGCAGCCAATTAGGGTTAATAGTTGAAGGGAGGTCTTTATGAAGTAACCAATAAGTACACTATTATTAAGTCAATACAGCTTTCAATTTAATATTTTCAATGACCAACTATACCAAAATAAGTAGTTAAAAGAGTATTATAATATAAAATATATATAATATAATATAAAAAATAATTTTTAAGAGTTTTAAAATCATACTTAAAAATTTAAAATGAAAACTTAAACCTTTGTTTACAAAAACTTCCTAAAAATAACCTTTTAATTTTGCATTTTAGAAATTTAATAAATTTATAAAACCTTTGGGGGAATCCCCTAAACCTCAGTGATTAACCAATCCATTTAGATATTTAAGCTGACTACCATTATTTGCTCCTTCTTTATTTTCATTTTTTTTTCAGAATTTTATTTGGCATTACACAATCCTTTGCTACCCCCCTTCATACCCTCCAGTTACCAATTATGCCCAACAATTATTGACCGATTTCCCTGGCATTTAACGCCAAAACCGCAAAAGTGTGTCCATAATTGATAAGTTTCTTGGCCGCCTGAGAGCATAATTAAAGCGGGGCTCCATTATCAGTGTCTGCTTGCGTTGCTTTGTTTGTTTGTTATTAATTATTGTGGTTCAAGAACTCGCTCCGGCTCTCTGCCTTTCGGCCTCTCTATTTACTCTGTCTGGTTGGGCCATGTTAACTGGGCCAAAAAGGCAGTCATGTTAGCCGGCTAACAGCGGGCTTTTGCGGCTGCGCAGCAACTTGGTTTTTGGCCTCTGTTAAGTGGCTTGTTGCTGCTGCCTTGCTGCTGCTGTTTCTGTTGCTGGTTTTCTGTTGGCCACGCTTTTTGGCCACCGCACGAATTCAGTGCAGCGGCGACTCTCGAACGGTATTGTTGGCTTAGCGGTAACTCGCCCCTGGCCGTGCATACTAATTTGCCATATAGTCTTAGTAGAGTTTTTAGTGTTAACTTTATTCCCCGTACTCGTGGCTTGGTTTTTCTTTCTGTTTTCTGTTTCTGTTTTTTTGCGTGTCCCGAGTGAATGTGGAAAATGTGCAGATAGTTTTATTTATTTTTTTGTTGTTGCATTTATTTGATATTTATGTGTGGATTATATGTAGATGTACAATATTATTGGGCCAAATGCGCCGACGCCGCTGGCCGAAAGTGAAAAACTGAATGCGCAGACGTGTGTAACAGTTTTTACTTTCGGCCTGGTTTTTGGCATCCCAAAGGCTGTTGTTGTTGCTGTTGCTGGTGCTGCTGAGGCAGTGGAGCATTTAGCCGCGATCTGTGCAGATTGCATAAAAAATAAAATAGAGGCTGCACTAGCCGCAGCAGCAGCACCAGCAGCAACCGCATTTAGCCCAGTTTTCTAAGCAAAAATATTTTCAAAAAAAAAAAAAAAACTAACGACAAACAAAAAATATCTCACACTAAATCTTAGCGTTATTTTTTCCTCCTCGTCGTTGTCGTCGCGTTTAACTGAAATAATAACAACAACAACAACAACGAGAGCAGCAGCAGCAGCAGCAACAATATTGGCAACAACAACCACAGCAGCAGCAGCAGCAGCAACATCTAACCCAAAGGAGCCTTGTATCGCCACCTCGACCAGCAAAAAGCCGCCAAAATGCTTCCGGTAAGTGGTTGCCACAATACTGGCTTGTACTAGTACGAGTACTCACACTCACACTCATACTCATACTCGTTTCTTGTGGCACAAAAAGAAAAATTCATTAAAAAATCAACTCTCGACAACTGCACAGGCTGAGAAATCATTTTTATTTCGCGTTTTTTTTTTGCCGCTTTTGTTGCTGCATTTTGTACACAATTAGCGCAAATCTGGCCAAGAGTCGTAAATATTTAGTCCGGACTTGGCGATTTCCTGGCCACCATTCCAAAAACGGGGAATGGATTCATGCAGCTACCAACCTTGGCAGCCTGGAAAGTTGTTATCCTTGCCCAGGGCGCCAGGAAAGATCTCGCAGATCTCGTAGATCTCGCAGATCCCTCTGAACACAAAACGGGTTCTCGAAACTAGCATCTCGTGGGTTGCCTCTTCGTTCTCGAATCGATTGAATTATTCAACGACTTGATTTCGATTTCGTTTGCCTGGTTTAACTTGATATTAAAAAAAACGTCTCTCTTGGGCGATTGCATAATTAATGTGTGACAACACAGCGAAGAATTCTTAGACCAACGCAAAAAATATGCTTCCGACTTGCTTAATGCGTAGTCTTTTGGCTGAAAGTAAGAGTTAGTTTTTATGACAGCTTGGAGTGGTCTTTTGTGGCCTTAATCGTCAGACTGCTAGGTGTTTATAATCAGCCAAAATCTAGATAAAAATGGCCTATAGGCAGGGGACATCTCAAGATTAACATATGAATAACCAAATCATATTTTTAATGGCCTGAGTTTGGAGTCTATAAATGTTTTCCTTTTGATTTAGCTGGATATATATTTTATAATTATTACCTTAAAGTTAACATTCAAGTGAGGAATTCCAAAGTGAGAGGGGGATGCACACCATCGCAGATTAAAGCTCAAGTCTTGACAGTTTTTTACGATCGGGACTTATGCAATCCCGAAAAACTTTTACCCGATTAACACCTTTTGCAGACGGCTAAGACGTCGGCGATTGCAATTCCCATGCTAATCGAAGGCGATCGAGTGCAAAACTTTCAAACACGAACCCAATTCGTTGAAGATACATTGCACGCATATTAAAGATGATGGTGAGCCCGTAGATACATCTCACAGATACAGGCACAGCTAGAGATATGGATAAGTTAAGGCGCAAATAAATACAAGCCACATGCGATGCATAAACTTTTACTTGAAACTAAATGGCAATATAAACGAAATCGCTATCGAAATGAGGCTGGCCTGGGGATTGGGGCCTTTTCAGCTATATATACACACATCCGCGTGGACCTTCGGACAAGGCATATATCTCGCTGATCCTATGATATTTCTCGCAGCGAGTCATGCAAATTTTCAGCTGCGCATGCGCACAAAAACTCGTTTACGAATTCTCTTTTTTACGATTGCTTTTTGTATTATTTTTGTCAATTTTTTTGTTGCTATTTTGTTGTTATATTTGTTAAGTTTTTCGGCCTGAACTTATTTTTGGCCACGTAGCGGGGGCGAAACACGTTTGGCGACAAGTGCTAGGAGATGAGCTGCCGCCAAGAAACTAGCCACAGAGAGGGAGACTCATCATCGCCATCATCAACATCGTCGTTGTCTATGTTATGACTTCAATCATGCTTGACGTCAGGCCGCAAAAATGCGTGTGTGAAGAGGAAATCGGCCTGGGTCTTTGTCTCTGGCGGAAATCGGTGGCCCAGCCCGAAAATGAGCCCAGCGAAAATTGCAAATTCATGCAACATCCATCCATGCCATTGCAACGTTGCAACGCCAACGCAGCAGCAGCAGCAGTCGCACCCAAAAGACAATGACAGTGAACTGGGCCCCGAGAGTCAATCCCCAAGCCCAGGCCTCCAATCGAAACTTGCATCTTCCATATGCAATATGCTTAGATTTAATCAGCCGCCCATTCGGGCATACGATTTTTTAGCACTACCGAAGGGGGAATACCCTTTTGGGTTATTTTCTGGAGATTATTATTAATATTCTGGGTCATTTTTTGGATTTTTTCTCTATATGTTGGGTAATTTTATGTGAATTTTAACAATCTTCTCTTTAAGTTTTAAAAGAGCAACTGAAAAATCTTTTAAATAACATTTTCAATTAAATTAAATACTTCAATTTCTTTATTGTTGCCTTCATAAAGTATAAAAAGATGTTTAAAATTTATAAAATGCAAATATTATAAAGCAAATATTTGCTCAAGTTAAACAGCAAAGTCATGCCTTGGTTAAGATCTCTTCATTTCCCTAAAAAATAAGTACAAACACCGACTACATGATGTACTTCCCTGTGCCAACCTATAAACTTATCGTAGCTCCTTTGTAGCCCTCCAAATATGCGATCTCAAATACATATAATTTGACCCCCAGAGGTGGCACATGGCAAGGCACATCCGCCTTGCATTCGTGGAGAGGTTTCCAGATTGGCAAATCGTACTCCAATGAAAGTGAAACCCGATGAGAGGAGCGGCATTCGTACAAAAAAATAAAACTACAAAAAAAAAAGTGAATGTATCGGCGACCCTGCGGGGGGAATCGGCGCCAAGCGATGCGTTTTGGCATTTTACATACGAAAACACTAAACAAAAATATTTATGAAATTTCTAAAACAAAAAGGATATATTTTTTTAATAAAACAAAAACTAAACTTTGCAATATTTCTAAAATAAAAAATAAACCTTTTAATATTTTTAAAACAAAAAATTAACTTTTTTAAAATCTTTAACATATCAAAAACAATTTTTAAAAATTTAAACAATTAAATTAATATTTGTATACATTAAACTAAAATATTAAAATTTATTTCTGGCTAAAATCCTTATGATTTATAAAGATATTTACCATCTTGAGACCACTTTACTAAATTTAATCAAGCCATAAATTTTTTCCCAGTGCAAATATATTATTCAAAAAGCATTATAGAAGCCTTAACGGCGGGGCGGTCTCATTAAGTTACCGGTTTTTGGCTATTAAACCGCATTGGCCTGAAATTCCCGCATTCCCAGTCGCATCCACTGCAATCGCTTTGGTAATTGTATCTGCCAGATACACAGTATCTGTGAGTAACAGAGTTTCTGAGTCTCGGAATAGCTGGGCCCCAGTCCCCCATTGCAAAATGTTGCCTTTTTTGTGTCGCCTTCGCTACTCTTTGGGCTCGTTACGTATGCTGTGCAGCCAGAAGGGGGTTAATGCAGCGGCGGGGCAGCCGTGGGTTAAGAGGGAGAGAGACATGCTCCAGGGAACGCCGGGATGATTCAATTCCATGACAACGACAACAGGGCTAACCAGCCATGTGTCTGGGCCCGTTACTTTGACTCTCAGATTTGGGAACATGCAAATCATTAACACGCTGACAGGTCAGGGAGGGGGTTGGGCCCAGCCCTCCCTTTGATATTTGAGTCTAGCCTCCTGGGTGTGCAACATAGACTTTTTCTTGGGTTTCAATTGGTGTTTCAGGTTTGTTTATTAACAACTTGGTAATAAAATAATTTTTTAAAGTTTATATTATTTATTTTTAAAAGGTTTTCTTTTAATTCTTGATTTTTATTTAATTATTTTCGATTGGTGTATTTATTTTTTCCTAAAATAATTTCCACTATAACTTTATATTACTTGTTAATTTATTTTAATTAAAAACTCACCCAGCATATTTATATTTATATTTTATTCTTTGTTTAACTGTGAGTAACTCGCCACTTAATTTATTGTTTCCTTAAACCACTCAACAACCATCTTTTGACCAATTAAAATATATATGTATAGATTCAATGGCTGCAGATTCCCACCCTTGAAGCCCAGCCTCTGAGGGTTTTCTTATTATTTTATTTTAGCTCCACTTGAAACACGTAACTGTAAATTCGCTTGACAGCATATATATATATAACACAAAATACCAAATCAAATATGTATATTTTTACAGACATACCCGCGCCTGAAGGTCAACTTGTTTCGCGAGAGCAAGAGCAAGAAAAAAAGCAAAAGTTATAAATTAATTTATTAAGCCGGAGCGAGTTCCACTCTCCGCATCTAAACTTGTTTGCTCACAATAACAAAAAGCACTTGCTCAAAATTCCAGAGTCTTGACCAACGGACTAACTGACCCCCAATTGGTATTTAAAAGAATGTGACTGCATTTGCAACAACAAAAACAATAAAATAAAATACAAGAAATAATCAAAAACAAAAACAAGCATAAAGCCAAAGCGAAACCAAACGTCTAAACAAAAAAAAAAAAATAAATCAAAATGAGGGTGAACAATGGGCACTTTAATTGTCACAAGGATGGAGCTAGAAAAAAGGTTGTTGGTGACAGAAGACTAGGGGAAATAATACTTAATTGTTTAGGTACTTAATAAATATTAAGGCATTTTTTATTGTTGGAAATAAAGCCTATAGCTTGAAGTTTAAAGTATTTCCTTATATTTTAGCTAGTCATAGTTGTTGAGCTTAATTTTTTATTATTTTTAAAAACAGGAACACAATTTAGGTAGTTATTAGTTATAAACTTTATCAATTAATTTTATAAATTTAGATTTCTATTATTAATTGTTTTTATATGTTTATTATTTTATTACCAAAACCTTCCTTTTTTCTATCTTTATTTTTTTTAAACTTTCATTATTTTTCTGTAAATATTTTTTTAAAACTTGCCACCTTATTCTCATGATTTTCTTAATTTAACTTTATTTTTACCAAAGTGAATTAATTTTTTTCAATTATTTCTTAATTTAACATTTCTTTTTACAAGGTTAATTGATTTTTTTTTAATATTTAATCGACAAACAAACAAACAACAAACTTTCCCACCTTTCTAACTTCTTCTGTTAGGTTTTTCTTGTACAATTTTCTGTAATTTTCTTTACTCTCTCAATTTCAATCAAAAAACTATAGAGTCATGCTTCGATCTAATTAAGTTCAGTCCAGCTAATCGGTTGCTACAATGGCATTATCTTTATGGCTTAAACTCAGATCTCTTACTCGCTTCACG